GCGTGTGTGTGCGCGCGTGCGTGGGCATGGGCCTGGGCGTGCGTGTATGCAAAGATCATTCAAGACAAAAATCAAATTCTTACTGGAAATTTCTTCTGAGGGACAAGGTAGTAGCATCCTTCACCAATGAAGTATCTTCTAGGAATATCTGTACGTCTCACAAACCCCAAGATATTTAGGCACTTTTCACCAGATTTGTATCTCATCTGCTCTTCATCACATTCTGAAAATAGGTAATAACCAGAAGTTTAATATTTCCACTGAAGGGGGTAGCACAATGAGAGGTAAAAGTGCTCCAGAGGTTACAAATTTTTTATTTTGAAAATCGTACTTAAAGTATAAAAAATTCAACAATTTTTTCACTGGATTTAAAGCAATTTGCAAAGAGTATTTAGCACAAATGGGAAAAACACTTGTCTTTTAGCTTCTTATATAAGTTCATAATTTATGTTAATCACATTGCGCTTATGAATATTGACTATAATAATTCTTGCGATTTTTTATACACTACAGATGTTTCAAAAATTTTGATGTTTTTCACCCTTACAATCAACAATAAAGAAGGGGGGGGAGAAAAAAAATTACTTTCTTCCTTTGGTTTTTAAGAATATCTCACATTCTGACACATCATAAAAAGAGTTAAATACAAATTATAGTCCTGTAAATTCTCTAGTGACTCAAAATTTCAACCATTTTTCCTTATAATTTGCGCCATACTGCTCAATATAAATAAAAAGCATTTTCATTATTTCTTATTTATGACTTAAAATTATGTTTTATTTTCATTCAAGGTCTGCTGGAACCATATATTTAACCAAATGCAAAATATCTGGAACAAAAGATGGAAATTGATGAAGGCTAGTGAAAAGCACATCTCCAACGCAATATCCTTAAAATTATTCCAAGTATTGTCATGAAAAGATCAGGTTGTAATTACAAGGTTGAGAATGGAACACTCCAAACTAATGCATACTCATCTAATTACTAAAAACCCTCGACAATGTGACCATTGTAAAGTTCTTCTAAATGTAAAACACATTAATTTTACTGCACACTATACAAAAGCACCAATTAGAAGGCAGACACGAAACATTCTTAATTCTATAGATTATTTATATATTTATTTGCATCTAAACAGGTGATTGCCCAATATTACAGATTTATACAATATTTATAATTTGATACTGAAAATAAGAAATATATAAAAATACATATTAATTGTAATCACAGAGATAATGTATCTTTGCATAATTAACAAATTGACTAACAAAGATACAATTTATGTTGATTTCACAGTTATTATAAATTCTGCACATACGCCATACAGGAGAACAATAACCCAAATTAGTTCTCGCGAATGGTATAAAAAATGGTTCATTTTGATTAAATCTGGAGTTACGTAATAGTATTTTCCAATTGATCAAAGATAATTGTTCGCTACTGTCAATATCATGATTTAATAATTTGAATAGAAATAAGATGTCATTACATTTTCTATGGGATTCAAGAGAACTAATTTGAAGATTTGATAGTGAAATTTTGCTGTAATCGTGGTTTAACCTTCGTGATGGTAATTTAAGAAACCAAGCTGCTAAATTAAAAAATTTATGTTGTACTGATTCAATTCTCTTTTTGTATACATCATAACAAGGAGACCAGTTTTGTGAAGAGTACATAAGTATTGGTCGCACTAATGTTAAATACAAAGTTCTAATTGTAGAAGGGTTTCTAAAGTCAGTTGCAGTTCTCATAATAAATCCTAACATACGATTAGCTTTATCTACAATATTATTTATATGTCTATCAAATCTCGTTTTTGGATCGAAAATAACTCCAAGATCTTTTATTTAATTGACAGACTCGAGTATCGCTCCATCAATAAAATACCCATGGTCGACTATATTTCTGTGTTTTGTAAATTTCATCACTTTGCACTTATTTACATTAAATTTTAATTGATTCAATTTACTCCAATTTATAAGACTATTCAAGCACTCCTGTAGTTGTTTGCAATCATTAATGGTATTAATTTCTCCATAGATTTTTACGTCGTCAGCAAATAATAAAAACATGCAATTTGAAAGAAATAATTTCACATCATTAATAAATAACAAAAATAAAAGGGGTCCCAAGTGAGAACCTTGGGGTACTCCTGATGGTACAATTATGTCGCGGGATAAGAATGATAAATATTTAACATTCAATATTCTATCAGACAAATAGTTTTCAACCATTGCAAGAGATTACCGTGAATGCCCAAATTTGACAACTTTTGTATAAGTAATTCATGGTTTACAGTGTCGAAAGCTTTAGCAAAATCCCTATATCTACTTGAGATTTTTATCAATTTTATCAATAATGAAGTGTTGTAAGATTAATAAATTTGAGGTGGTAGATTTATTACGTCTGAAGCCATGTTGTTCCTCTATGATGAGATTGTTTAGGAATAACACTCATTACGGATATAGGTCTGTAATTTTTTAACATATAATCGGTTCTGAGATTTATATATTGGAGTTAAATAACTTTTTTCCAAATTGGAGGAAGGGTACCTTTGTTCAGAGTTTTTACAAAAAGTACATGAAGAATCTGTGTTAAGTTGGCATTACAAGATTTTAATAATCTCGCTGGTATTGAATCTGGTCAAACAACTTTCTTAACGTTTAATTTATTTATCGATTTGTATACATCATATTGGGTTATCTCGATGTTACCAATACCGAAGGCAGAAGCATGATCAACGTAATTGACATTAGTTGACTGGTTATCAACATTATAATTACTATATAAGAATGCACGCTACGTAAAACATTAAGAAATAAGACTAGAAAAGACGCTATGTAAAAATTTTATAAAACAATGGCAATGCCAGTAGTCCTGTATGGGAGTGAAAATTGGATTCTCTCTAAAAAAGAAAAAATGAATATTCAAGCTGCAGAGATGAAATTTTTAAGGAGAGTAAAAGGTTGTATTTTGCTAGACAAACAATGAAATGAAGATATAAGAAAAGAATTAAATATATTTAGTCTAAATGATTGTATACAACTATATACACAAGACTGGGAAAAACAATTAGAAAGAATGGAGCACAATAGGCTACCTAAACAAGTGCTGAAGTACAACCCAACAGGAAGAAGAAGTGTAAGACGACCACGCAGAAGATTGTTTGATATGTGAAGACGGAACAGGCAGCATTAATCAGCAAAAATATCTACTATTTTTTGAGGGGTGTCAGCTGATTCATTTATGGTAAAAATATAATTTGGAATACCATTTGTTCCTCTTTCATTGTTAGTAAATTTCCAGAAAGACTTTATATTAGATGGAATAGAATTTTCAATATTTATCACATAATTATCATAATCAAGATGAAATTTTGATTTACATTTTTTGCGTAATTCTGAAAATTTACTATAATCTAAGAATCGTCTATAAATTTGTATTTGGAGTGAGCTTTAGACTTTTTGTTTAATATTAATTTCAATTCTTTAGAGTACCAAGGAGGGTATTGACGAGGAGATACATACATTTTGGGTACACGTTTTTCGATCAGTTCATAAATAAAGTTTTAAAAATAATCAACACATGATTGAATAGAGTTAATTTCAAAATAGCTACTCCATTCAAATGGGCATAATTCTTCGCTAATTGACATAAAGTCTGCGAGGTTACAATTGTAGTTCATGACTAACGAGTGTCCTGTAGCTTTCTTTAATATTTATCATAAGTTTCAGTGCCGGATGATAGTAATCACAAGGAACAATAGGACAGTCAGATTTAATTACATTTGAATAATTAGAAGCAAATACTAAGTCAAGTATTTTAGAATTATTATTTAATGTTTCGTTTAATTGTAATAAATTGATATAATTCATTGGATGTTGAATTTGCGTGCCAATATTGATTTCAGTACTGGAGGTTTTTAAAAATTCAGAATGAGCAATATCATTAAAGTTTGACCATAATGTATTTGGTAAATTGAAATCACCCATTATTGAGAATTTCGATTTTGGGTTGTTTTCAAAAACTAGTTCTAGATTTGTAATAAATTGTAAGTAGACATCAAGAGTTGACTTGGGTGGAAAGTATGTTGCTACAACTATCATATCGAGATGAGCATATTTAAGATGAACGACGATGTGTTCAGAAAGATGACAAAATGTTTGAATAATTGAACTACCAATTTTTTGATGAACCATAATTAATACTCCTCCACCTCTCTGAAATTTGTTGTTTAAGTTCTATTGACTTTATGGTGATTAGGAAAATTCTGTTCTGTATTACAAATGCCATCTTGAAGCATGTCTCGGTGAAAACAATGATGTCCAGATCTTCGCAAGAAGGTGCCACTCGATCAAGGAGGGACAGCTTAGTACGCGACCACACACGTTTTGGTTATAAAAATGAATTTTACTAGGGAATTGCATGCTCTTCAGTTTTCTGCTTGGACAACATTGCGCATACCTTTACTTTTCTCAGAGTTAGTGAAAAGTTTTGGTACTTGGTTAATATATTTAATCTTGGCATCTTTATTTTCTTTATTTTGCTCCAACTCTAAAAGCAATAGGATGTTTTTCAGATGTTCTTGTTGAAATGAAATGAAAATTATCAAAAGAAAACTATTTCTTTAAAGAAATCAATATTTACAAAGGAAAATTAACGAAAGGTTCACCTGAGAGGGTATTTATTATTACTGTATTAACTAACTCTACTGTATTAACTAATAGATTTCTCATTTTTTGAAATTCTCTAAATGGGTATAGATCACATGGTATCAATTGCCCTTTTGATTACACAGCTCACAGTAGAGATACATGAGATTACACAGCCACCAAACCAACATATGTCATCACTAACCATAGTCATGACACTATTCAGCACCATAATTTCACCAATAATAACATACGGAATTTTTACAATAGAATTTAGAGCAACTACTTACTATACTCTTGTTGTTTGTTTTGTTTTCATACTGAACATGTTTTTCAATTTGATATTGTAATTGTCAAACGTACCCATCTCTTTCGTCGCTAATGACCTTGATATCAATGCAACTATAAATTAATAAACAAATAAAGTGATAGAGTGAGATAAATAATTATAGATAAGTTAATAAAATTTTAGAAAACCTCAAGGAACTCCTGGAATCGCTCACACACAACATCAAGTATCTGCTACCCAAAGCAGGAGACAGTTCTTTGGCAGAGGTGTACAGGCCAATCTCTTGTCTGCCAGTATGTACAAAGTTACAACTGCAGCCATAGCTTACAAAATGTATACAACTAGACAAGAACCGTCTGTTACCAGTTGAACAGGCAGGATGGCATAAAGATTCCTATGCCTGTAAGGAAATATTGCTTCTAAATACAGTCATATTGAATGATTTAAGGAAACTAATAGGTACTTTAAGCACGGCTTGGATTGACTACCAGAAGGCCTTTGAGAGGGTACCACATGAATGGATTTTAAAGACCCTGGAGATCGATTGATTTTCTCCTAGACTTATTGACTTAGGCTATTAAGAAGTACAAGGTTACTAGGATGTAGTGGAAACGAGAAGTAATCAGATTAACATGAGAATTTTTCAAGGAGATTATCTATCCCCTCTGCTATTTTACATTAGTTTGAATCCACTAAGTAGACTGACTTTGGTTACAAGGTCCGTGGTGATAAAATCCAATAACACATTTGCTTTACATGGATGATCTTAAAGTGATTGCTAAGAATGAAGTGATTCTCCCCCAAATGCTGTCTGCTATCAGTGAGATTGTAGCAGTGACACGGCACGAAATTTGGATATAAGATGTGCAAGTCAAATTGAAGAGAGGCAAAGTGACAATGTCCGAGAGCATTGAAGTTGATGTGAACACTGTGATTCAAGAATAAGGTAAAACTTACAAATATCTGCGCACTGAAGAATGTGACAACATCTCAAATGATGTAATGAAAGAGAGAATTCACAGGGAGCATTACAGAAGAGTGAGACTTGTCCTGCAGTCCACTCTAAACTCCAGGCATAAAATATTCGCAATAGGTAGTAGCTAGGTACAGTAGACCCCCTGCTAATCCAAACAAATAGGAGTGTGGCCTGTTCGGATTCGGGAACTCGTTTCATTTAGACAACTTACGTTTCAATAATTAGTTGTTCAGTTCTACAGCAATTATAAAATTCTTTCTTTATACTACAAAAAAGCATTCTATTTATTTTTCCTCCATCCATAATTTTGTTCATTTGAATTATCTGAAATTTAGGATTTTTGGGGTTCAGATTACTGAGGTTCTACTGTACTAGCCTGTAGCTGAGTAGTTTGAATTTCTGGACTGGACTGAGCAAGAACTTCGAATCATGAACTAAAAGGAAAGCTTACAATCACGATTTTCAAAATAAAATGTTTATCCCTGGAGGCACTTGTAACTATCTTATTCCACTTTCAGCACTCAAGTGATTCATAACTGGAATTTATGGCTCAAGCTCTTGCAGCTGATATCACAGCAACCCAGCCAGAAAGAAACAAATTATTATACTTAAAATGCATTAAAATGGAGTCAGGTTCATTTTTGCAATAGATAACAACAGACTATCCCTACTCTGGCAAAGAAAAGTATGAAAATCACAGAGCAGTTTTGACTTTTTGTGTATAATTTTTTCTTGAGATATCTAATTTATAAAAACTTGTATATTTCATTGTACAGCAAAACTAAAATTAATAATACTGAATCACTGTTATACACACATCAATCAGTTCAATAATTTAATTAGTATGTACTGTGTTTCTTAGTATAAAATTTAAGACCATGAGTAAAAAGGCAGGAAACAATACCATTGAAAGGCACAGCTGTTGATCCAAAGAAGTATCCAGCAATTCGGTCTTCCTTTTCAACAACTGTACGATCTTCTCTCATGTACACACGATCTTGTTCAATCCTCGCATTGCTAGGAGTCTCATTTTGTGATTCTGAGGTAGGAGCATCCCCAATCTGAAATATATTAATTCTTACCCTTTGATTGTATAAGTGGAATAATTTGCTTTACTAATCTCAAAAACAAATGTTTCATGTTAGGTATCAAAATATTTAAATATTTGCATTTTCCAGCAATATTTAATAAGAAGCACCTTTCTCTCGGTTGTTTCTCTCACTGTTTTTTGCCAAGGTGGAAGAGCCACTGGTGCAATCTGAAAAAATATAAAAATCAAATTTTTTAATAATTTTTTCTCTTTAATAGCTGTATTGGTATTGATAGAGATGTTTATGAAGAAGTTTAGTCCCTGCCCCAACACTAAAACCTCACAAGATCATTTCTATTAAGTAACCTAATAACATTAGGGAATGATTAACATTTTCTTAAGTCTAATCAGAAATAGCTCTTTGTTATGCAAAGATTTCTCATATTATGGAAAAACTTAAGTTATAAGTTATATAAGAAAATTTTAAGTTATTTTATTTTATTTATTTAACGGAATGATATTCCTGATGTGTGAAAAAAATGCTTGAGGATCATTAGCGATGGCCAATTCAGTCAAAGTAATAAATTTTTTATAGACCTCTCTCTGCAGTGATTTGTACTCAGATTGTGCTGCAAATGTGTTGTATAGTTCTGTAAATTTTAAATTGTTTGACTTATAAAGATCAATAAAAAAATATAAAATGTCATAAAACCGATCTACATTATCGTTAATGATACGATTTTTAAAGCACAAGTTAGACAATAACGTATAGAACAATAATCTCTCCTCTAAAAATCGTAAACCACTGTCAACAACATTGAAGATGATGAATTGATCACCGATGGGAGCTCTAAAACAAGAGCAGGATGGTGTGTATCGCACGTTAACATGGCATCAACACATTCGGTGACAACAATGGAATCTTGGCTGGATAAAATTAAGTTGAGCAGTGTACCATGTGAGTCCACAACATTATTGTGGATGAACATCGGCAACAGGAAACGCATCCAGCAATGACCAGGCTGCTTCAGCAATTCATGAGGATGAAGACAGTACTCTGGATCTATCCAGGTGATCATTCCAACAGATCCCAGGAAGATTGAAGTCCTCAATAATCAGTGAGGATTGAGGTCGATGTGTCCCAGAAGACACTCTGCAAAGCTGGCATATTTCTCAGGACTTGCCGGAGAAAGGTAAACTGGTTAAGAAAGAGTTGTTCAGATTAACTCACGTTAATTGCAACACAATGAATGGAATCCTTAAGAGAAGAGTCCCCTGAGATTTATGGAGCAAAGCTTCCACCAAGATGATTACATCTTACAGAACAGTTGATGACAACACAGCATCACACATGTCTGATAGTTCAGTCCTCAAGCCTTGCCCATTCTGGTAGTATATCTTCAATTACTGCGTGAAGAAGTAGAAGAACATCCCTGAGATACCAGGTTTTTCAATGTCTATCATCCAAATCATTCATGGTTGAAAATATCATGGGATTACTGTCGAAGTATTTTATTCTCACACCCTTCTTTCCCTCCTCTGAGCGTCTGGCCAATTCATCCCTCAAATGCTTCAAAAAGTTTTGTTGGTAAGGTGTGAGGTCATTGCTCACTACAATGCCAAGTTTACCAAGGTCACCTTTGTGACGCAAAATGTAAAGAGAGTCTTCATGGTTAAAGAAATTGGCTTTTAGAGGTAAAGGACCACCATTCCATGGCCTACAAAATCTCTTCACAGTTTTGGCATTTGGAAAATTAGGTATGCTAATCAATGTAGAATTTAAATTCTCAAGATCATCAGGATAATTGGAGTCTTGTTTGATGTTGAAGAAAATTACATTCCTTTCTCAGTGGCGATGCTCTTCCAGGACCTTCTGTTCTAAAAATGGTGAAGAATTTGGTGATTTGTTTTGCTCAAGTCTAGAGATACTCCCCAACAAACCAACTACTTCAACCTTCTGATCATCAATTTTAATTTGTTGGTTATCAATTCTCCTTCGTTCATCAATTCTGCACGTCATCAAATTGTGTGCTGATGACATCAAACTTGCATTTAAAAAACTGCATTAATTTGTTGTTTAAATGAGCAAAATGTAAAGATAAAGTCAAAGATATCTTTTGGTGACCTTTGAGCAGCACAAAGAAAAGCCTCGATTAGTTAACTTTTTATTCCTTATAGAGGTTTAGGTGATACATACCTTTACATACCATGCAATCAATAGTCACTGAATCAGACGGTAAGGCCTTACTACAAGAAATGCAACGATTTTCTCCAGACAGAGATATATCTGGTATGTTGGAAATGTTACCACTAGACAAGGGCATATCTGCAATACAAAATCTCTGTCGTTGGTTGGGCAAGACGTTCGGCCAAGAGCACACAAAATTGGATGGTGGACATCAATCACATCAATAAATATACAAAACCTTTGTTGTGGTATGTCAAATATAAAGATGGAGGTTAGAAAATACTATGCAACAAAAAGAAAAATTATCTCCAGCTTCCCAGCAGAAAATAGCACGTCTCCAATTGCATAGCCAGATTTCACCCCACATAATATTTTAAACTCAGTACATTGACTTGAAACATTTAAACCACCTCAAAAAGCAGTCGAAACTGACACAAGTGCGAACCCTGATGCTCAGTTTAAGACACCGCCATGTTCCATCATTATTTTTTAATAAATATGGTTAATAGTCCTGAGCCCGTATAAATGAAACTATCCTTCCACTCATTTGCCTTTCTTTCTCTTAAAAAATAATAATAAAAATTCTAGAAACTTTAGTCGCAATGAATCGTCATCTTTTAAATCAAGGACTTTAGCAATGGTGCTCAATTTTGTTCTTCAGAATCTTTAAATTTGGGTCACTAATAGAACATGACCATATTTACATTCAATTAAAGTGATAAAAAACATTAAAACTATTTTTTATTTAAATTAAGGATAATGATTACCTTCTTATAAAGTGCAACTGGTATTTTTATTTCCTCTCCAATGTCCAGTGTTACATTCCATGGAGTTGGTCTCACTGCTTTCATTTGATACGTCTTTAACTGGGAAAAGGCATCCACAAAATTGCAGGAAATTCCTTCACACTAAAAAAGATAAACACAGTCAAACATCACATCTTTTATTCAAAAACAAAAGTACAATACTGGCTATAATATATAATGTTTGCTGCGCAATTATGAGATGAATATTGTATTGTTGATGCACACAAAAGACAAATTACAAAAATTGTTTTCCAGAGAACTGTTTCAATCTGAGTGGAGACCTTTATATTGCTACCAAAGATAAAGTATTTTACTCAACCGAAAGAAAATAATCTTTACGAAAACTTTAACAGTAAATAAAGATTATTTTCTAAATATATTTCTTCTCTTAACTATTGGAGCTACAACTTGGCATAGTCTTTCATATTTGTGACATGTATTTAAAGTTCCTATAATCAGAGTTCGGAAGTATGAAACAGCCAAATATGTACATAAATTTGAAATAATAATAATAATAATAATAATAATAATAATAATAATAATAATAATAATAATAATAATAAAGGAATACAATACTAAAATTCACTTTTATTTATAGAATATTTGCAAGCAAAATAAATTAGACAATTTGAAATTACATTAATAAAATATTTATTAGACCAATTTAAAAAATAAACCTTGCTTGGCCAACTGCATTTAACTTTTGTAAGAGTACTCTTAATGTTTTTGAATAATGATAGCCATCGTACAAAAATGGGAATTCAATGATTGGCAAACTTATCACTGTAGCATTGTCTTTGTAGTGCGACACGTCAGTGGCAACCTATATTTCTTGGAAACTGGGATTAAATGATCAATTGATTGTTTTGTATAGTATTCCGGGTACACGCCTTGAAATTCTTAGAAAAACTTGTAAAAAACAATTTAGAAAAGTAAGATGTTTAGTGCAAATAGCCCCCTATGTTGGTCTGAAGTATCAAATGTATCATAAAAAAATGTGCATATCTTAGAAAATTGTCTAACAAGTACAGTTTGTTATGTTACATGTCAAAAAAATCTAAATTCCAACGAAATACAGTGAAAGTGAGAGAAAACAGTGAAAAACACTTTCAATTTAATGCACTATGGTAACCTAACAATAAAAAATTTTTTTCTAGGTTATTTTGGGAATAGAATAAGTATAATCCTGTTCTAGTTTAGTCATGGGCCTTTTTTCTGTTATCTAATTCTGCTATATCCTTTGAGTGTAATATAATTCTCAGACAAATATATTTACACAATACATAACTTTTTCCTAATGAAAAAGTTTGTAATATTATTAACAGGAATATACTCTAATTATATTTATATATTGTTGTTAACTAAAGTCAGTACAGGCAAGAATATCCCAAATTGAAAATGTTTTTTGCCATATATCATTCCAAAATTATGGAGTCATCTTATAATTGTATATTAAGCCTCATAAGGTACAATTGATGTTTCTACATTGCCTTTCCATGTTAAGAAACCTGTAACTGCTAACATACCAAGAAGCTGTGAAAACAATCAAAATATTACCCTTATTATTGCCCTCCACTGGAAATTTCTCTGTGGATTCATACAGGTATCTTCAAATAGGCCAGGAAAGAAATAATCTCAAATAAATCACATTGTATTCACAATTCACATTGATATTAAACATATGCATTCATTCAACCACAGAAATGAACAATAAAAAAAATATTTTCTTAGCAAAAACTTTCCAATCTTGAAAACTTGCCACTATCTTCCATGTTGTGACATTGAGGGACAGAGATGTAGATTTTGCAGTTCACAACTCCATTACATGAACATTGCACAGTTCTTCTCTCAAGTACATTCTGCTAAAGAATCTGAAAGAACTGTATGGGAATCACAGGCCATGAACAAGAGCAGGACAAGTAGAAAATTTGGTGTCGCAGAAGGGTATCTTCATAGGTAGCAGCAGACTGAGAACGCAAATTCAATGTGCAAAACATTCCAAGGGACTTAAAATATCAAGAGGATGTCACAGTATGGAAAGTGTACAAAAAAGAAATTCTGATACATGATGAAGAACATGACAATTTGGGGAAAAAAACACGATATTCAGATTCAACTTAGAAGGGACCTTTTAGTATCCAATCTCGTAGGTCGTATGAGTCTTCTATGTGTTAAACATTGTCAGTTTTGGGTGAGTAGTAACAGCATGCACTGACTGATGTACTTCTCATACTTTTAAGTTTCACATTTAAATTTCACATAGTGATCCCACTGGGATCACTTGCTGAGAGCTGAGAGCAAAGACGTGAAGAATCTTGGTTTGGACACTAGTGTTCACAGACAGCTTGAAAGATGTTTTTGAAAAACAATTTTCCAGTATCAGGGACTCCAATGGACTTTGATATGACATACTTCATAAATGAGAAAGAAAGACATATATGAGCAAGAACACTTGTTTGGTATCAGGGATCCACAAAACAAGTTTATCTATGAAATAAATCTGTGTAATTTTTTTTTTTTACAGTACGTAATGTTTACTATACTACATATAAAAGAAAGTAAAAATAACACCATTGAAATGTGTCACTTTTCTTGTGTGCTTATGACAAAGCATAATATTTTGTTATGATCTTACCTCATTGATGATACGTCTCATTAGCTCTTCACCTCTTTGCCTACGAGACAGTCCAGACAGATCACTAATTTCTGAACATTTACCATTGTTATCTATTAAATCTTCATGATCCATTTTTTCTCCTTCCCCATTTTCATCTTCAGGAAACAGATCTACTCCACTGAAAATTTTAACAAAGAACACAATATAAAAAAAACTTTCTTGATTTTTTCTACATACTAATTGGATATAAGAATATAATGTAACATTGGCACATGCACAGCAACCTAAACAGAATGCCCAATTTAACAACTCATTCTTTTTTGCTACTAATGTTTTAGACTTGACGCATTCATAGTACATTTGTTAAAATTAATAGAAATTATACTTACATTGCTGTCAGTTCAATTTCCAATTTCTGGATCCCATTTATTATAGTTTTGAGTTTATCTTCATTAACATCATTATCAGGATCAACAAACAGTACAATTTTCTTTGCTGTTATTTTCTTGCCTCTGCAAAAACAAATCTTTCTTTAAGAGCCAAAGATGGAGCAAGGACGGACACCAAGAGCCAAAAATGGACACAAACCAATGCACATTTGAAATTCCCTTCTCATGTTCTTTTCGTGAGATATTTTATTCCACTTCTTTGATATTTTGCTGCCAAGTTTCTCAATAACAAACTTTGGTCATGTGGTAATTGCAAAAATACTAAACATACTTCATTACTAATCTTGATATCACAAGCCGAGTCCAGATTCTTGTGTTACGCTTATCACATCTTTTTATGTAGTTTTCTACATTGTAGTGCTGATAATGTGTTGCAATACTAACAATATCCAAATGTTTTATTGCACATTCTTATTGTATAATATATATGACTGGAATTTACAATGATTCTTTTTAAACCAATTTTCTTCAAATTTGCTTTACATGTAGATGATTTTAGACGAACTTTCAAAAATTGCTTTAATTTTAAAAATCAGCATCTTTTCCTACAGATTCAATATTGACTTCTAGCAACATAAGATGCTGCAAGGGCAAGATGCCTTCTGTCAACCTGGAGAAGCAGCTGGATGCACTTATTCTGTTAGGATTTGCCTCCATCTACCCTGCTTGAGTTGAATTAAAGACACATCACAGTCTTGGGGAATGAAAAATACTGACTTAGGTCACATATCATCGAATGAATGTCTTTGAAGTGAAAAGTATCAGTGACCTCGTATTTCTCGATCATTAACCTCAAGTTCCAACAAATATTAGTTGTCACAAACATGTAGGGCTTTGATGAGAATGTTGAAGCGATTGTTTGCTGGACACTGAGTTTGTATCTTTGAATGAAGGCTCTATTACCCCCCACATTAAAAACACATAATTTTCAAATTTATTTGGATAATCAATGTTTATATTGAAAGTTTGATACATAATATTTCATAAACCTTAATACATATTGATCACCTCATTCATTACTCTTCCTCCCAGTATTACAGAATAAGAAGCAAAATTATTGGAATCATCATCAATATGATCTCAAATATCAGGTATAAAATCCATGTTTTTTTTTTAAGGTTCTCTTCAGCTGCAACTTTGCACTTGCATCAGGATTATGGCCCTTTGCAATGTTAAGATGGTTAAGATTGGTGAAAGTGGTAAGGGTACACACCATTATGTACACAAAAATCAATATGAATAGATGAATGGATCACACATAACTGTCAGATTTGAGTTATTGACATGAAACTTGGTAAATATATCAAGAGTAAGATCTAGTTGTACCATTCCAGAGATCATGAAGGTCTATAGCTGAAGTCTAGTAGACAGTACAACTTAAGTCGTTTAAACCGGCAGTTCACACCAATCTGACGAGGGGGACATCCACTGCGGAGGGGCCGAAGGGTGTTAGGAGGGGAATTTTTCGATGGGGCATAACTTAGTAAATACATATAAGAAGCAAAGCCCGGGCAATTTAAATAAATTGTATAAAAAAACAACAAAAAATAAAAATAAAAACACACACTTCTGAAATAATTTTAATGGTTTGTAATTAGTCAGAAGTCAGCGGGGGCAGGGGGGGGCATTTCATCCAAATTTTTTCATTACGAAATGGTATGTGGAGCAATGTAAATCGTGTTTTTGTTAACGTGATTTTCTGTGCCGCGTGGCTATTGAAGTGGTTAACTATGTTGCTGCTGTACACTTAAGTTTCTTCCATTCTTCAGATTCTGTGTGATTTGGGGTTTTGAGTGTCGAATGTCTGTGCTACGATGGTTAGAATAAATGTGGATTTTTTACATGTTGCACTGAAGGGGCTGTTTGGCTGTCATTGAATGGGTGCAAAAATGTCGTGCGATTGCTGCAGGATTTAAGTGTGTTGTGTGTAAGTGTCCCATGAGGTTGGCCAAGCAAAAGAAGTGGTCTGATGGTTTCGAGTAGAAGTGTGGCAAGAAAGGGGCCACTCCTCATGTGCATAAGTGTTCCATGCAAAAGGGGTCATGGTTTGCAGGAAGCATGTTGAGTATGATTTAGGTATGACCTATCTTTGATTTATAAAACCATCAGTCGAACTGCCATAAAAATCGCCTATCGGCAAGTTTAATTCATTTCTGTCAGAGTGCTTAGCGCAATTTGAGGGAGGGCTTAAGGATGCCCTCCTCCCCATCACCCTCGCCACACCACTTCTCTAAGGGTGTACCATGTACCCTACTTAAACCAGATATTTTAATTTTTGAGATACTTTACATGAAGCCCCTATGACATATTCAACATTTTTCTGAAACCACTGAAAAATTTTTTCTCGAAATGTTTTGCTAATGTGCATGAAGGTACATTTATAGGAATGCACTGGAAAATGATATAGTTCCGATTTTTCATTAAAACCTCTGCCATTTAGAAAATTGCAAAAATTTTAACATTTAAACACTAAGGGTTTTTATTTAAAAAGGGGCTTGAGCTTTCCACTCAACCAAATTTTACGAGTTTTGCTTTAAATGGAAGGTAGAGGGCTCCACATGTTTTATTACTTATTATTAACTGGCTATTTTTCATTAACATTTAATTTTAATAAAATCATAAAACGAATGGAATGAATGATTATCTTGCATAATTTGTTCATTATTTCATTGCACGAGTTGAAATAGATAGATTGAGAGCATTCGATATTTCCTCTTCAAGAAAACAAGTCACTGTAAGGTGGTCATTGTAAGTGAAGCTAATATAGTTTTCTTAAGTTTGAAAAGTATCTTAAAATACAGATTTGTAAGTGCATGTAAATGCAATCATTTGTCATATGAGACACACAAAAAAATTTAGAGGTGATAATTATGTGGGGCATTGCCTTTTTAAGGTAGTGTTCAGAAGGATTTCTTTGTCACATTTCCCAACAGTACACGTAAACATATCTTGGTAAAAATAAAAGATTTCCAATATATTTTCAGAAAGATGTTTAACTCTTGGTTCGTTCTGAATAATGAAACAATGCTTGTGTGTTTTTTGTTGTTGTTTTGGAGGGGGAGGGGGTCCAGTTAGCAAATATGTAGAACTTTTCAACTTTTCTAGTCACACCGCACACATCTAATTTTTATTGTGCATCCTACATGCTTGAAAATTTAAGATATGTACAAACTTTACAAGCCATCCTTCAACCATAATGAATCTTGTGGCCAAGATGTTTTCTGCATAAATTCATACACTTTTATGTCTTTAAATGGACATGAATTTTGCTTAACACATATTATTCATTTATATTTTCTACATCCTGCATGTTACTGATTTCATAACATATTTATTTACATATTTTGTAAACGCTAAATATTCTTCTGGACTTTTAACCATTAGACTTAACTGCACAAGTATCTCACCAAAAATTCCCAAAGAAATGGCACATGATTGTGCAAAAAAAAAATCATCATTACAATTACACCACTTTATAATATTTATAAAGTAATGAAAAATGTATTTAAAAAATAATATTACTCTGTCTGTGTCTGCATTATATCCATGGCCACAACTAAAGCATCAATCCAGTCACATTTATCTACTGCTGTTCCATTTATCTCTTGAACTATCTTCAGCATCTCCCATGAAGGATTTGCCATTCGAAAACCTTCGCTAATATTCGGATACTGAAGAGCATTTGCCGTCATCTGGGTTCCAAGCAGTACCAGTCCAATCTCATCTCCAGCAGATGAAAATATCTAAAAACAATGATTCAATTGTTGCAAATCTACACGTGCCAAGAAACAATTCACAGAAACAAAAAAGAACAGTTTGTGTACTACACACATTTTAAATATGAATAAAATTGAATGCACCTATTCAATGTCAATTGAACAGTGCCCGCACATGTGTCATCAAATACATAACACAATGTGCAATATTGCATTTTATTCAAAATGGCTTGATCTTGATTATTTCAACTCCAATTTTATTGATAAAGAGTATTACTGTTACACAAACTGTAAAGGAGTCCAATATCCGATTTGACAGGTTCAGGAGAAGCTGAATTTTCTTTAATGGTTAAGAAAAAGTACGGTTAATGTATAAACTACATTCAATATACATTCAAACTACATGCAAATACCTCAATTGTGGGACAAGAACATTTCTCACATATACCTTTCGTTCGATGATTCTTTCGATGCACTTCTTTGCATTATGTAAACAAGAATTTCCATCTTCATAAACATGTTCGGAAGCAGACGCTCCAATATCAAGCACGAAAATTATTGCTTCCTACAACAATGTACATGTTAGATAAGCTTCACTGAAATATGTGTTCCTACATTCTCAGTTTCTAACAAATTATGTATTAATTCGTATCCACCTTGGGGGATCTCGAACCCATTGTCACGTATGGACAATTAGAATCTTGACCCGAATTTACTTTTCCGTGAACCTCAAGGAAACGATCAAACTCAGAATTAAAATCGTCTCAAAAACCTTTTCCACATTTCGCGCGTAGAAATCAACTGGAAACTACTTGCATGTCCTGACCAGTCCTGACATGCACAAAGTTCGTGTTGGCCGGGTCGTGACTATTCCATGACAGACATGAGAGATTTAAGAATGACGTCACGACGGCGGGAAAGATTTGGGTCCAGAGGGGCGTGGATTCAGAGTAATGTGTAGGATTGTTGTGTACGCGTTTCCTATACTTGGGTATTTATTTCTTGGCGCGCCAGGCCTTGTCTTCACGGTGGCCTTGTCTTCATAATGTCCTTGTTTTCGCGACCGAGAAAGATGCAAAATACCCTGAGATATTCCATCGTGAAGACAAGGTCTCGCACGCTAAGAAATAAAAACCCAAGTAGAGAACAGCTGCATCACCGTCTAAATTACATTTTTTCTGGATTTGTCGTTCCCCTAATGGTAGACCGAAAACAAAACTATAAGAAAATTATAGAAGTAAAACGTCCTTCTATACAGTAATGTTTTATTTTTATTTTATTTTAATTGGAGTCATTTTCGAGAAAATGTTTTTGAGCATGGCCATCCGGTTTGAGCGTTTCTAAAAATGCGCATTTTAAAGCTCATTTTCACTGACAGCATTTGCATTTTTGAGTAACTTCTCAAGAAGTAGCTTAAAGCAATTGTACTCACAATTGCAATAACGTAAATAAATGGCTGGACATATAATTGTCAACGGCGCAAAAGATGTTTAAAAAATTACATTTGTGTATATTTTTGAAAAAGAAAAGAATACATCAAAGTGGCCTTTATGTCTGTTGTGGATTTACAAATGAGAATGAAGTCCTTTCATGAAGCCATGTTTATTCACATGGGTCCGCACATGATGCAGCCACATAAAAAACATACAAAGTAGTCTTCGGGGGGCGTGAAGTCGTAGTCGCCGTGAGGTTGTCGATCCAGGATCATCTTCTTGGTGCAGCGTGAAAGGGGGGGGGGCAAGCTGGGTTGACTCGCGCGTTGATGTCTACGTACGGTAGGATACGCGGCCATCCAGACCAGACGTGGGGCTGAAAGACTTCTTAAAGAGGTGTGACGTAGACTCTCGGCTGCGACGCTCTGCTTTCATGCCAATTGATACTATATTATATATATATATATATATATATATATATATATATATATATATATATATACATTTAACAGTAATAATAATACTAGTAATAATAGTACATTTAACATTATCCTTACGAAAAGTTTAAAGAAAATATTTGGAGCGGTTTTTGAGAAGATGTTGTTTTTGTAATATTTTAAATTTTTTTGTACATATTGCACGCAGTATTGAGTGAAGACTACTTAAATTTTCAAAAAAAGAATTCATTACCTTAATGAAAGAACTCACTTTATTTGAAGGAAAAATCTCCATCTTAAATTTTGTGGTTGGAGGAAGATACCGAAAAAAATTCATTTTTTCATACTTCATTCATCATACTTTTGAAATGTTGGAAAATTCAGTTAACCATGGAAATAGGACATAAGCCACCTTTATAAGTGTATTTGACTCTATTACAATAAAATCAAAGAAAAAGTTTGGAGCCTGTTTGAGAAAATTTTTAAAATGTCTATATACTTCATGTAAAGTACCCCCAAAAACTAAAGAATGATTTTCAAAATCTCAGAACTTCGAATCAGACTAAATGGACAGGGGTTTCTTCAATTTGGAAAAAATCCTACATGGTTTAGTGTTGTTCACATGCACCAGACAGATAGACGGACGAACGGACAGACGGACGGACGTACAGACGATAGACGGACAGACAGTCGGACGGACGGCCCTTTTGGAAAAAAACAAAACAAAAAAAAATTTTTTTTCTGTATCAGGGGACCCCAAAACGTGTATTTCCGTGGAAATCTCGAAATCCATTTTCCCCAGCATTACATAACTTTCCCCATACTACGTATATTACTCCGTATATACGTACGTATACGGGAAACTAAAAATTAGAGAGCTAGAAACAAGGAATACCTAACTAGCAACAATGTTAATGGCAATATATGCTAGCGTTGTGGCCGCATGTCCGCTCCACCCCCGCTAGGAACTTCAAACGTATGTGGCGGAGAAATGGAACGAGCTGTTTTACTTGAAAGAAAGACTTGCGGAAGAACTGCGTAAGGATTGACTACCAAAAAATAGGGGTTGTCATGAGATGTTAATTTCCCATAAACAATTACGTATCTCGAAAACGAAAGACGATAGCGCCGATCGGACTGCAAAATTTTGCATCTCGTTTAAAGGCAATTTAGAAAAGGCAATAATTTTGTGTGTGCAATTTTTTAAAAAATGTAAACAATTTCCAATTTTTTAAATTCTAAAGTGGAATGGGGTCCCTAATGTTCCAGAACAGAAAACTGTGACTTAACAATTTTGCAACATTTAAAATTTTTATAAACAATTCCAAAATCCGTGAAATTCCTGCCGAGCAATGTCCCCAAATTGTCTTTGAGGTGAATATTGCAAAATTATAATTTTTACAAGAGATTCAAAATTATTGCTAATATTTACTTTATTTGTTGCTAAAATGCTATATATAGACTAGATATTTGAATTTTGCTGTTTTTGTTTTAAATGGTTCCCCAGAAGTCATCTATTGATTCGAAAAATACACGATTTTGCAATTTCTTGCAAATTTTATAAACATATGAACGATTGCAAACTAGCAATTGTAATAGTTATTTTATCGATAAATCTATAGTGAACTGGATATTTTATAAAGGTTTTGGATTATTTATAAATAATAATATTGAAATGAAACCTGTGTAAAAATCTAAATGCTCTAAAATGAGTGTTATTTTATCTCACATTAACGTAATATCTTAAAAAAGAATTGTGTTAATAGCGACTAAACGTATGTATTCTTATATACTTGTATATTTCAATGTATTTACTTTTATCTTCATAAGTGATTCATTCTATGTATTTTTATTTGGAAATATTTCCACATCTGAACTTGCGACATACACCATTTTCTGCGACGTAATTTTGCTAGGCTACTTCTCCCCACTTTGAGATTGGCTGCGGCTGTTTGTGATGCTCCGCCTGCAACGTTTCGTCATGTGAAGGGCTTCCCAAGCCGTGGAAAGGCTGAACTAGCTGCAGAGGGCCGGTTAATAAATGTTGCCAGAACTGTACAAGCACCCGAGAGATATGCTGCTGTTGGTATATCGCCAATACTTGCATGAAAATTGTCAGAAATAACTTTTAGAGTGGAAATACTTTTGTTTTGAGTAGCTGTGAAGGAGGTTGTAAATTCACTCCCATTTACGTCCAACACGGGCTCCTCCTTTTTTGCCCACGCGGCACCCGAACAGAAGAAATACCTGGAAGACTCAATTTACGATTTTACGCTTCAATGACAACAGATTCGGCGACTCCCAGAGTGACAACACTCCGTCAACAGCCCCATGTACCATAGTAAAGACCCCGGAAAACGACAGCTCGTTCCATTTATTACCACTCCGTTAATATCCGTAAAAATTATCTCAACACGTTCGGAGCTAACCTACTTCCATGATAAAATTTCTTAAAACCTACGAATAAACAGATGTCCCTAGCGCAAATACAATAGACCCGGTGACGCGCTTAGCCACACCACCCTTTTCAAACACCCACATACTATAGGAGCGTCCCCGGAAGGCGAATGCCCGTTACGCCTGTCAGTTAACACCCGTAAAAATTCAGCTAGCTCGTGCGAAGCTAGCTTACTTCAGAGACAAAATTTCTTAAAACTTCCAAATAAAGGGATGTCTCTCGCTCAATCATAATTCAAGGAAGGAAGAAGCTTATAGAAGCGTACCGACGTAAGATCGTCGCCAGCGAATCAGTGCCTGTACGAATGCTGTTACGAGACCCGCGTTCCAGAATATATTTTACCTGATTGCTGGAAAAAAGCGTGGGGACTGTCTTGGCTCGAGATTACTTCGAGGAACGAACATTTTGAGTGAGGTGATACTAAGACGAGACTTCAGAGGAGAGAAGATTTACAAATAAGCAGCGGAGAGAAGAGGCCTTACAATCAGACTTCAAAAGAAGGAGGAACTTGAGTATTAGAATTCGGAGTGCGCGAGACTAGACGATCAGACTTCAGCGAGAGACCACCGACAATTAGACAAGGAAGAGAAGCAGACAACGGAAAGTTTTAGAGACTACAATAAGCGACATCATTCTACAAATTGCAAGTGCGGTTCACTAGTAGCTGCCGCATACTGTTTATACGAGTAAGTGCCGCCGGTTGTGCACGAGTTCTCTCGCTGATCGCTAGAAACTCGGCCACCGCGTACGTTCGCCACGTCACCGCTCATCAATCCACCGCCGTCTCCCGCGAGGCTCGAGCGACGCGACTGATCCGGAGCGGCCGACCACGCCGCCACGCCCGGTCGCGCCTCGCCCCACTGGGCGCCCTGGCGATGAATGGTACTCTCTGGCAGCGGCGGATCGTGCTTACGTTGCATAACCCCAGCTAATCGAAAAAGATCTCATAGTATCTCAGGAATAAACATTTTCTTTTTAATGACTTTCAATATTCAAGATATTGCAGCAATATCGATGTATATGAAATCATTTTGAAACCAAAGTCTCCAACTGGCGCTCTCTCCGGTGTCTGGTGCCTTGCCAGGTATTGCATCACGCTTTTGACAGTTTTATTGAGTTTACTGATTTTACTATTTGACACCGATTTAACACTGGGAACATGATTCCTTTTGGTGATGCAACCAGACGGGTGGCGCTGCGCGGCGACGGAGTTTCAGAGAAATATTATCTGTCTTCGTCTGAGTCGCTGCAACGAGATTTGTATGAATTTCGCTTGTTATTGAAAGTACACTAGTTGAGTCAATTATTGATGGCATTTAATTCATTATTTATGATGTTTAGAGAATTTGTTTTCATTTGTTATAAGATTCATTGATTCAAAATGTACACTTGATGAATTCTTTGTGTAAAGTTGGGCGTTCTGTAAGTCCCTTTCTGTCTATAACATGTGTGTGAATGCATATTTCCCTCTGCAGCAGCCTGCACTTCAGACGGAGAGCACTCGTGGGAATGCGTGCGTGTGAGTGGAAGAATATTTGTTACAAAATAAATCAGGGTAGTGATATTTTAGAAATAAAATAATTTTAGATGTGAAACGTGTCGAAGCAATAGTGTTTGTTGCAACGTGGAGTCGAATTTAAGTGCCCAGTGGAAATCAAAGCCAGAACTGCGTGTGCGAGAGGTGTTTTGACATGGACACGCTGCATTAGTTTTAATTCATTTGAATTGCTTCCATTTTTATTACGTCGGTATTCGTATTTTAAATTTTAGAAATTACATTTCCGTCATTCGATGGAGATGAAACTGCTCATATGATTACCTGTATTTTTGTGTGTAGATTGATAGAGGGAACGAGGAGGAGAGTTATGGGTTGATCAGTTTATCGTAGTTATTGGCGCATGGAAGAATTATATAAATAAAGACATTTGAAACTGGTTTTTGTTGTTTCTGTAGAGTTAAACAGCAAGCTCCAGTCTTTTGGGGCACCAGCCGCCACTGCTCTCTGATCCCGTCCTTGGGGGGGCGTGCAATACCACAGCCATTGTGGAAATAATATTATTTCCACCATGACCACAGATGTCACAGACCTTTCCTGACGCGTCATTCACGCAGCTGCCCCTCACAGACGGACAAATGACTCACAAGTGCTTTAGTGTAAATCAAACAAAGTTATTGTAAAACATGCGTGTGAAATAATTCCATGCTTAAGTGTTAATTCAAAAGTAAAGGAGATGATTGAAAATTTCAATAATACTTCAAGATTAAAAGAAAAATGTAATGGATGATAAGACTTTATTTTTATCGAGGATGTGGAATTTGAAAGTGTACTTGTATGCATTAAGGTCTTTCATTAACTTAATAAACGAAGAGGGATTCCATCAGGAACCACGTTTTGGACAGAGGCATGTTATTGATGATTTATCACAAAACACGCTTAATCCTAAGAATTCCTCATCGCCCATCTAACTCAGAAAGGCTTCGCTCAGAGGATTCTCCACGCTCTGCAGGGAGCGATCAAAATCTTCAATTCTCGTAGAAGTTTAGCCGAAGCAGGTAAGTCGGTGGATCTACCTACTACTAACCCGCATCCCGGCCTGACGCTGCTGTAAGCTCCGCGAGAGGCGGAACATTCAAAACATGTATACATATGTGAGCCGTGTCGTTATCTGCCAGAACGTTTGTTCCCTGTTTGCATCTGTCAAAGCAACACTCCTGGAAATTGTATTTTTTGATAAAGGAATTATTTCGATTTTTCGAACACGTTTTTCACCCATCCGCTAGCATCATTAATCCGAGAAAATACATTTTCAGCGATTGTATGTTTTATACCGCTTTCAGCAATGTGGCAACAGATCCTGTATGACGCTTCGACTGCTTTCTCATTACCTTCGTTTGCTGATAACTAGTGTTGCAACACAATAGCACAGACTTTCTCATACTAGTTTTCTAATGTTTCGTCTGAGCAAACTTTTCTGTTCAGCTCCCACCCTCTTCTCAATTGCAATTACTCTTTTTTTCAAAAACTTGAACATGATCTTATTTGCAAAACTATTAAAACCAGGTCCTTTGAAACCAACACATTGGTGAATGTGCAAATCTATTGTCTTCCAAAATATTTTTTTTTCACATTGTTAATCATAACTTTTTTTCAATTAATATATGCACTGATTCACAAAGCATCGTATTTATTTGTACTCTAATTTACTGGATGTAAATTACATACGAGTGAGGGATACCATTTTCACAGTAACATCCAAGCATTTTACACACTACCATTGAACCTAGAAGAAAACATTGAAAAAAAAAATAAGGCAATTTTATCCTTTCATTTCATATCAGGCCAACATGGATATATTTCAAGTTATATTGAAAAAGTGGGATAATTTAAATTTTGTATTTTGCTTATAGCACCATATTTCGCTGTGGCTGTTTCATGGCTAAACAATTAATTAGAGGGGAAAAAGAGCAAAGGTATTAAACATTTTATCTTGTATTTCTTATAGGGCCATTATTTATGAATAGGGACAGCTTCTGAGTTACTGTCCTTTCTCTCGATGTGCCACGTTTCCACGAAAAGCTCATACCATGATTTTAGTCTTAGTCAGAGGCGGATCTGTGAGATGTTCCATTCTGAAGCTTCTTACAATTGGTGATTGCGATTCGAAGTAATAAAGACAAGCAACACTTTAACACGTTTCGCACCGCTATACCTCTTCTTTGCGACCATGATGCAATATATGATGGCGATTGCGACTGCAGTGTTACTTTCCGCCAAATGAGTAACAGGAGATACATTTGGTGGTGAAGGCTTAAAACATGGGATCACGTCACGAGGTTTCACGAGCACCTGGAGAAATTCCTTCAATGGTTTTGAAATTATTTCAATTTACTTGTAGGTTGCCAGTACTACAATAAAGTTGTAGCAAAATTGCAGTAGCTATGATTTGGAAGACTGGGTTGGTTACCACTTCAGTTCATAATCCAAGCAAATTTAAACTACAGAGAAAGCCTCAGTGGTGAATCCAAAGATCCTAGTTAACACTATCGCCACTTCAAAAGTAAGGTGACTTGTTTGCTAGGTGTGTGCAGTTGCTAAGCAAGTTACACAAATGCTCACGCAGATTAGGTTGACCCCCAAGCAACTTTGTATACCTGTAACTTCATAATTATTAAACATATGCAAATAAAACAAAATTAAAACTATTTCTTGTAGCTTCATTAAAGAATACATAAACCAGTTTGTATAATCCATTTCCAAGAAGTAACATCATCAATGCCTTGAGTATCTAAAAACCCAGTGCGAGTACTGGAGTACTATTAACCATTAAAGTCTTCTCTAGTAATAACCAATTTTTTATCCATCAATGATTGCTTAATAAAGGTTTCACCCTTTCAATTTTTGAGAAGCTGGAGAAATGAATAGAATGGTAGTTTCAATAAATAAAAAAAATAATTAAAAATGCTTCATTTAAATTTCAGCTGATAGGAAAAAAATCACCAACTATAAAATGAATCCATCTTTAGGATACTGAATTAAAATTCACATGAAAGTAATAGTCTTTACTTTTTGTTAAATATTAGCGTAAAAATGACACCACAGAAACTCTTTAAAGATATGGAACTTTCTGAACATCACTGGCAGAAAAAAATAGTCACAGATTACAGTAAAAAATGAAAGAACTGTCTGAATGAATATAATAATCTTTTAAATATATTATTCGACTACAAACTTATCTATGTCTCACACAACATTAAGCAGATCAATTCACAATATCAATTAAATATATGCTACAAACTTTCTAATTACACAACTCTGTGCCACTAATTTAATATTGCTCTATTAATCTTGCTTTTAATTATACAGACAATAACAGCAAATAAAATCTATGAACATCATTGTCTTTAATTTTATTTAGTGCTCAGTCTTTAAGATAAATATGCTGTACACGATTCAACAATATATTATTCCATCATCGCACAGAACGAAAAGTTATTAAAGTGCCAAATTACTCACATCACAATTTTCTAGAGAAATATATTTTGAGCATTTGAACATCCCATTTTATAAAGCTTGTAATCAGTTGAAATATGACCTAATTGGTTAAAAAATTAATGGCAGGCAGCATTTATTCCAAAGTGTAAGTTTTCAACTGATGCCAGAGAAATGGGTTCAATTCAAATATCAAATTATCAAAGCAATTTTCAATCAGAAGTTTCAGATAATTAAATTTTTGCCCATTAAATGCTGATATTATAGTAAAACACTAATAATTAACCACTCTACATTTGGAGGCACATTCCATACTAGTTTTGTACATACATATTTGAATACTAACAAAATCCATACTAGTTTTTTTCATTTGACACAGTAAAATTAAAAAATCAAATGTTTGTCATAGAAACACTGTTTTTCTACACCCTGAGAACTGCTAAATGTTTTGTAGATAAGCCCTACACATACTATTTTTTTGTGTTTAACTAGATATTCACCAAGAATGATTGGTGAAACTTGAGAACATGAGATGGAAGAATTCGCATCAAATGTTGCATACATAATACTGTTTACTGTATTGTTTACTAATAGTATGTGCTGATGTCTTACACGTGTTAAGTTACACGCAGTTTCACATGATTAAATCAACATAAATGTTCATGATTCCTCAATTATACATCCATAAGCAACTCTCATGTGTAATGGCATCACTGGAGTACTTCAGGGTCAATTTACTCATTGAGTCATTACCCAGTTATCGCTTTCTACACAATGAAAAATTCACAAGTTGCTCAGAATAGGTATTCCGAAAAGAATTCTATACCAAACCAATAATCTCTGATGTATCAAACACATGAAACCTATGACATTTGGAATTCTAGCATGTATGTATAAAACGAGGAACTTTCAAACAGTTTGATACACCTTAGATTTAAAAATAGCATATTTGGATCTTTTGTTTGTTTTTAAACACTTAAAATATTTGGAATCGACACCTAAAAAGTAAGTACAAATTATTTCCAAAGAACATACCAGAGATGACATTTTTCTTAAATTATATTTTTAAGGAACGTTAGCTAACAGTAGAATGTCAATAATCCTTCCAATAATACAAGACAAACAAATGACATAAACTAAGGCACAAAATAAATTACAAGTTGACAAAAATAAAAGTAGACTTTATTTAAAAAAAAAAAGAAAAGAAAAGTCTTTTACAACATTAAAACCAAAATTCCTCAAGATTGAACCACAAAACAATAATTAAGAAGAAATCACTATTTAAATTATTTTGAATTAATGTTTTGCCCAAAATGAGTTATAATTTTTTAATCATAACATCCAACAAAATGAAGTCTGGATTATCAGCATTCTACTGAAATTCCAGGAGCAAGAAATTACACAATACTATTGTGATACTTTAGAATATAAGGAACAAATATAATGGATCCATTATAATCTTCACATCAATCAGCAATTCAAATATGTCTGAGTAGGAATGCAGTCATGTTTGTAAATAAAATAGATAAGTTATGTCAAGGAGTTCTGCAGAATTTGCTGCTCTAATTCCATTTTGAGAGTTTATTGCAGCATTTCATGTTTAGAGGTTGATTCTTCTACCTTTTGGAGGATGATTGTTAATCTCAATGAGGCAAATTGGCCTGGCAACAACACACTCATTCATGAAACAATATCACATAAAACAGCAACATAGCACACACAATCTTCTGCAGCTTACAGTGACTGGCTTCTAAGCTGCCCACCGTTCGTTCCTAAAACACAACAGAATATAATAAAAATAATGAAAAACTGCATTCAGAAAATGAACCGTAGATTAATTACATTTCCTGATCTTCAACATAATAACGAATTTCTTACAAGTCAACAAAACCAGAAAAAATCAAAGTAAATTGAAACTACAAGAGGGATTTGTAGTTACTTGGAACCTTAAAAATAAAGGACAACAAAGTAACTTAAGTAACAAAGGTTTAATTTTTCCTCAAGATGTAGAGAGAGAAAAATGTGCTATCATTTTTAAACAACACCACAGAAAATCTTTACGTAAAAGAATTATTTAATTTCCATTCCTTTGACAAATGTATTTATAACATACATATTCATGAGTATGACTACCTATTATCAGAAAGAAAAAAGACATCTTGAGAAGAATCTGAGACAGAATTCCAGCAAGTATAGTTAGTTTGATCTTTTTTGACAAAAATAAATCAAATCAAGAAGTAAAAACTGAACATGATGTAGAGGGAGAAGCATAATCTGGGCACATTCTAGAGAAAAATGTTTCAAGAGGCCTATACTGATGACAAATTTTAATGCAATTGTGATATTGGAGAAATCTTTAAAATTCTGAAGGAGTCCAACAATTTCCTAGTTTAATAATTTTTTTCAAGAGCATCAGACACACAATGAAATTGAAGATGTCCAGATACGTCGGTTATTTTTCTTTATTGTAAATTAAGATGTGAAGGCATGAAAAACACTGGCAGACTTCTTTCATTCAAGATCACCCTGGGCAAATACAAATGTTCAATTATTTGAGAGGTATTAAATATGTTCGTTAATCACTTCATATTACATAGGGCACTTTTATTAGTGATGTAATATTTTTTAGAAATACAATAATACACAAATATATTTGAAAGATATGAGTACAAAATTTTTTACTGTAACTGTTATTTGTAGTATTAATAAATAAATAAATAAATAAACAATGACTAGATTCATAATAGGTTTTTTGTAGACCTCATTTTCTTGTAAAATATTCATTTTTCTATCTTGCTATACACAATTCATGAGGTTAGAGAATTTGATATTTTCAGTTCTTTCCTATGAATTACAAATCAAAAGTTGAATGAAACGATATTCAAATTGAAACCAAATATTGCTAGGAAAAAATTAAAACAAAATCAAAATGAAACAGTAATGAAAAAGAAAGAAGAAGAAGAAAGAGAAAAAGAAGAAGAAAAAGAAGAAAAAAGAAAGAACAAAAAGAACGAAGAAAAAAAGGAAGAAGAAAAATGTGGAGAAAGAAGAGGAAGGAAGAAGAAGGAGAAAGAAGAAGAATGAAGGAGAAAGAAGAAGAAGGAGAAAGAAGAAGGAAAGAAGCCTGAATCCCTGTGCCTAAACCGCCTGACGATATTCTCCAATATTGATATTCCTCGATCGATCTGAACGAACACGAGGCTTTTGCGAGTTCGTTACATACATATGTAGTAATTTACTATATTTACATATTGGAACAGGATTTATCCACTTTTTCTGTACCAGTACGAGATTTTCTGACGAAAAATCGTCGCTTTTTGCCGCAGCATTACGTAATTTTCTCAGCACTAGGTATAAAACGTACGTATATTAGAAAGTAAAAAATTAAAATAAATTTTAAAAAAAGACGGGAAGCACTCTTCATATCCAGTTGTAAAATGCGGGAAGAGAATGCATTGTAAATATAGGCTTTTTAACGGGACCAACGAAAAATTACGTAAAAGGCAGGAAAACGTAAAAATGGGGTTTTACTGTATTAAAATATTTAATTGTAATAAATTTATTTCTAAGAAATATATTCACCCCCAGAGTATACTTCAGGGATCTGGACACACATCAATGCAATCCACATATTCATCAATTACAAATGTATTTATACATTATAAAAATTCGAAAAGTACAAAAATCAGAACACCCACCAGGTTATCTCCTAGGTGCTTTACAAGGCGGAGGCATCAGATCTTGATCTTCCACACCAAATCTTTGATGTTCAATGAAATTTAAGAGAATTTCTGTTGTCACAGGTTCACGAATGGAGTTACAAACGGCTGTAAAAGAAAATTTGTGATAATTTTATCCTATTTTTTAACTAAGAAAATTCCTCTGGCTCTATGGGAGCCAGGAACTTTGCAGCAACTGTAATTATATTCAGACCTACCTGTTGCTGTATTGTAACTATTGGGAAACGATTTATCTGTTCTTTCCCTCATAAAAAGCCAGTGTCCGTTATCAAATCTACATTCAATAATTTTGTTGTCTAGGTCCTTTAAAGATTTAGTATATTTCATTACTGCAAATGGACGATCCAAGCCCCCAACATACAGATGTCCAACTTTTCGAGGAAGAATCCTACAAAATAAATAACAATGTTATGAATGACAACTTACACTTATTTATTTAACACTGTGATAAGCCAGAAATCCCAAGTTTACTTTGAATGGGAGAAAGACAGCATCAAATGTGTTATATGATTGTATGTATTGAGAATCAAAGAATACACATTGTTAGAGCAACAAATAAACAAAGTATAGTATTCCATGTCACAGCGCTAATACATGAGATGTGATACACGGGAAGTAGGCTTTGAAAGTCATGATCTTGTTGGAAGTATGAAAAATCCAGTCTCACAAGAACTGGCGAGCTGAACACATCTAATTGACCGGTAAGTTGCAATGTTAGTAGTCAGTAGAGGTTGAGGTTATTGGTAAAAGATAGTGAGGTGGAAATAAATAAATAAATAAATAAATAAATAAATATATATATATATATATATAGGTGATTATCAATGTCTCAAAAATGTGTTTTATGCCTTCTCAAAATGGTGTTATGAGAAACTGGTTATATTAAAGCCATTTAAATGCATGACCTTTTCACAATCAAGAATGCTGATTGAATTTGTGAAATTGAATACGAGTCTCCTGTTAAAGAAATATTAATTAGGGACTTGTGTATTGTTTCTAATTAAAAGATGACATTTGAAGGTCAAAATTAAAAAAAATTTCCCAAGTACAACACAAACAAACAAAAACATAGAAGAAAGGTTTCAGGTTGAGCTTGAAGCATGGTAGTTGGGTCTGTTCCATCATGACACAACTCAAAGGGAATAAGGAAAGACCTTGTCCATGTGCAATGCTTACATGCTTCACGAGTTTATCATACTTCTGAGCAACCCTGATGGACCAAGAGTGAAAGAACATTGTTTGAAAGGTGATACATGGTACGTAGAAAAGTCACCCATGCCAATATTCCACATGCCTATACCAGACACAAACTGGCAACACGGTTATTTGTGTCAGCTAGCAATGACATTGTATACCTGCAATCTGCAATGTCTAGTTTATCCATTTATACCCAACATTTTTTTCTCTTTCTCTAATATGGAAATTCACAAATTCTGCATTGAATAAAATAATGACATGCACACAATAAACCTCTCCCAGGAGTTAAATATAATATTCCATTAACTTTGCGATAAAACAGAACTACTTTTCAAACAGTTTACCTATCTTAACAAGATCCTTTCACTTACCCTTCACCCACTTCTGTCACAATCTTCAGCTTGAAATCCACAGAATTAAGACTTGAAGGTTTCCATTTCAGAACTTCCTTACACTGACCAGCAGAGTACGGCTGCAAACACAAATTACACAAAACCATTATTTGATGCATTAAATCATTCATTAAGAGGGATTTTATGGCACAAAGCTACTCATATTATGATTGACTAACTTATTTGTAATTTGAGGGGTAAATTTGTATTTGTGAATACGCTACCATTTAAAAAATAATCTCGTATTAACAATGAAGTAAATGTATAGGAGAGCTGGCAAGGCCAAGGACACAAATTATACAATTTCAATATGTCACATAACCAAATCATCCCATTTAGAGATCTGTTCAAAATCACTCTTGAACATGAAATATAATGGTTTTACCTGATTACTAGCTTAGCCTACTGCCCCTGGCAGCACCTATAGTACAATTGATTTAGTTGCACACTTGATGTAAATCAGCTGTTGTGATTTCATCCAATCGGGAGCTTACAAGTCGCAACAGTGACATCGCTATGGAAAGGTTCAAGATCCCGATTGGATGAAATAGTGAAAAGCTGATTTAGGTCAAGTGCATGGTTAAATAAATCTTAGTATATGTTCATGTTGACACGTTTTGTGTGTTATACTAGTTCATATTAAAAAGAAAGGATACAGCTCAATAAGGTGGTGAAAAACGCCCTCAAACCAAATCCATAATTGCAATACTTATTTGAAAGAAAATTTAAAAAAAAAGTTGATTTCCAAATAAACACCCTCCCAAAGCAATCAGTTGCAGAGATACAATAAAAACATGTTTTTAAAGTTTTATTTTTTCACAGCTTCTAGTGCATGTATCAGGCCTGAAAACAATTGTAGACACAGAGAAAAATAGTCAATCAATATTGGTACTAAATTCAAATAGAAAAAAATTATTAAATTTTTGAAATTGAATTTCGACGTGATAACGTTGGAGTACGGTCTCAATTTTTTCTTTCCTAGAATGTGTCTCGTAACATTCTGTAACGACTATTTTTCTCCATCTCTGCAATTTTTTTCAGCCAAGTTCTCATTAAGACTTTAAAACTTGTAAACCTCTCACAAGATGATTAAAAAGTTAACTTCTTTGGATGAGAATTGAAGGAGTAAAATTAATACCAAAGTGAAAAATTTTTATTTGAAGAGGCTGAAAGTTTGTTTACCTGTATTTTGAAAATGCGGTCTCTGAAACGTATTGCGATATTTGTCATCTGGAGCACAAAATTTATCACATACAGTGAAACTTCATTTATACAATTTGCACTAATATGTTTTTCACATTTACACGTTGCTTCTTGTAAGTCCCAGATAAATTCCTATACACCCCATGCTAAATTATTTCAGATATGTGTTTTATGTTAATACGTTTTTCATGTGTATACATTCATAATGAAAGATGCTTTAAGACTGTATAATGTCTACATGATAATGACTGGGAGGGGTGGCTCAAGGCATCAAGTGATGTCACTGCAGTCCCTCTGACCGGGAGGTCCAAGATTCAAGCCCTGATGGTTGCAGGATTTTCGACAATAGCTTGTCTGCTAGGTTGAGTTCAGCTGCTGTCTGGAGGAAAATTCTAGCTGCCAGCTGCTCTGATTGGTAGTTTTCTATGGTTTCTCCAATCAACACCAGGCAAATGTCCGAGTAATACCCGAACAAACGGGACACGGATTGCGTGCGCTCTTTCCTTCCTCTTCCTTGTCATTTCCTCACCCTTACATATACGCTAACCAGCACTACACTACAACACATGCCAGAAAATTGGGAGCTTAGAGCTTGTCCCAGATGGGGTGGTGACCTGCTGGTGGGAGAAACTCAATTGAGGAAATCTCGGCTAGCCGATGGTACGTCGACGTCGGATCTCGCCATAGAGTGGGGGAAGACCACTGCCACCTCTCAAGAAAAAACATGCACTACAATAACGGGACTAATTACTCTAATAGTTGACATGTCCGAAATTACTATCAATCAATCAATCAATCAATCGAAATGTTAATGACATATATGAACAATGAATGAGAATGATTACATTATTGTATAGTAGCCCAAGAAATTTTTGTGATGAAATTTATTTATTTATTTGCATCTAAACAGGCAATTGCCCAAAATTACAGGTTTATACAATATTTAATATTTGATACTGAAAATAACGAAAATATAAAAATACATTTTAATTGTAATTACAGAGATAATGTGACTTTGTACAAATAAAAAATTGACTAGCAGAGATACAAATTATGTCGATATCACAGTTATTATAGTTTCTGCATATATGCCATATAGGAGATTAATAACCCAAATTAGTACTTGCTAATCGATATTTTCCAATTGATCAAAGATAATAGTTCGCTAATGACAATATCATGATTTAATAATTTGAATAGAAATAAGATGTCATTACATATTTTATGGGATTCAAGAGAACTAATTTGAAAATTTGATACTGAAATTTTGCTGTAATCGTGATTTAATCTTGGTGATGGTAATTTAAGAAACCAAGCAGATAAATTAAAAAATTTATGTTGTACTGATTCAATTCTCTTTTTGTATACATCATAACAAGGAGACCGGTTTTGTGAAGAGTACACAGAGTACAGAGATTGGTTGCACTAATGTTAAAGACAAAGTTCTAATTGTAGAAGGGTTTCTAAAGTTAGTTGCAGTTCTCATAATAAATCCTAACATACGATAAGCTTCATCTACAATATATTTATATGTCTATCAAATCTCATTTTTGGATCGAAAATAACTCCAAGATCTTTTATTTCATTGACAGACTCTAGTATCACTCCATCAATAGAATATTCATGGTCGACAATATTTCTGTGTTTCGTGAATTTCATCACTTTGCACTTATTTATATTAAAGTTTAATTGGTTTGATTTACTCCAATTTATAAGACTGTTCAAGCACTCCTTTAGTTGTTTGCAATCATTAATGGTATTAATTTCTTTATAGATTTTTCAGTCGTCAGCAAATAATCAAAACATGCAATTTGAAAGAAATAATTTCACATCATTAATAAATAACAAAAATAAAAGGGGTCTCAAGTGAGAACCTTGGGATACTCGTGATATATTTATTTATCAAAAAGGCAAACGCCCCCCAAAAAAATACATATAATAAAGGTTTTATGAATCAATTATACAATAATAAGGTACAGATATAAGATAAATGTTTAGCATACAAATTGTATCAAAAACAATAGGTTGATAAAGTACACTAATTGTAATCAAATAATATACTATTTATTTGCTAGAGTTTTAAAGTTATTGATAGGTAACGATGTATCGATGTGATATTCATTAGAAATTCGGCACATGCTCCATAATGGCGCATGATAATACAAATTTGTTCTCGCAGTAGGTATTAAAAACATACGTAATTCTGAATTATTTCGCAAATTTCCAACAGGAATCTTCCATAATATTTTAGACAGAAGTTCACCACTATCTAATTTATAATTAATCAATTTATACAAAAAAAAGAATCATTATATTTTCTAAATGAATTTAGAGTACTTATATCCATAATAGTGGCAATTTGATGGTAATCATGAGATACTCTCGAAGATGGTAATTGAAGCATCCATGCCATGTAATTTAAAAATTTATGCTGTGTGGATTCAAGTCTTCTAATGTGAATCTGATAATAAGGAGACCATATTTAAAATGCATACAATAAATTAGATCAGACTAAAGAATTATACAAGAGCTTAAGTACATATGGATTTGAAAATTCGGAAGTCATCTTTCTAATAAAAACGAGCATTTGATTTGATTTTGCAAGAAAATAGTCATTATGATGATTAAATCTCAGCTTATTATCAAATATTACACCCCAATCCTTGAATAAAGTAACAGATTCAAGACTATGACAATTTATATTATATGAAAACAAAACTGGATTTTTCAATCTGGAGTAACTCATGCTTTTACATTTCATTATATTTAATGGTAATTGATTCAAATTACACCACGAATACAGTATATCAACATACATTTGTAGAATTCTACAGTCCTCAATTGAATTAATTTCGATAAATAACTTCAGATCATCCGCATATAGCAAAAAGTAACATTTTGGAATCATAATCTTTAAATCATTTATAAATAGTAAGAATAATAATGGGCCTAGATGGGAACCTTGAGGTACTCCTGAAGTAACTGAAATATTTTTAGATAAAAAAGATTTATATTTAACGTTTTGAATTTGCCCAACTAAAAAACATTCAATCCATTTCAAGAAGGTTCCATGTATGCCTATATTTTTAAGTTTATGAAATAAAATACGATGATTTATTTTATCAAATGCTAGAATGTGATGGTACAATTATGTCACGGAATTAGAATGATAAATATTTAACATTCAATATTCTATCAGACAAATAGTTTTTCAACAATTGCAATAGACTACCGTCAATGCCCAAATTTGAAAACTTTGCTATCAGTAAATCATGGTTTAGTGTCGAAAGCTTGAGAAAAATCCATATATATAACATCTACTTGAGAATTTTTATCAGTTTTATCAATAATGAAGTGTTGTAAGATTAATAAATTAGAGGTGGTAGATTTATTATGTCTGAAGCCATGTTGTTCCTCTATGATGAGATTGTTTAATTTCTTAGTTTTTTTTTAGTTATAATGGACTCAAGAAGTTTAGGAATAACACTAATTATGGATACAGGTCTATAATTTTTTACATATGATCAGTTCTGAGATTTATATATTGGAATTAAATAACCTTTTTTCCACATTAGAGGAAGGGTACCTTTGTTCTGAGATTTTACAAAAAGTACATGAAGAATTGGTGTTAAGTTGGCATTACAAGATTTTAATAATCTCGCTCGTATTGAATCTGGCCCAACAACTTTCTTAACGTCCAATTTATTTATCGATTTGTATACATCATTTTGGGTTATCTCGATGTTACCAATACTGAAGGCAAAAGCATGATCAATGTAATTGACATTAGTAGATAGGTTATCAACATTATAATTACTATACATGGATTCGAAATAATCAGCAAAAATATCTACAATTTTTTGAGGGGTGTCAGCTGTTTCACTGTCATCAAAAATATAATTTGGAATACCATTTGCTTCTCTTTTATTGTTAGTAAATTTCCAGAATGACTTTATTAGATGGATTTGAATTTTCAATATTTATGACATAATTATCATAATCAAGATGAGATTTTGAATTACATTGTTTGCGTAATTCTGAACATTTACTCTAATCTAAAGGATCATCTGTAAATTTGTATTTGGAGTGATCTTTAGACTTTTCGTTTAACATTAATTTCAATTCTTTAGAGTATCAATTAGGTACCCGTTCATAAATAAAGTTATAAAAATAATCAACATATGATTGAATAGAGTTAATTTTAAATAGCTACTCCATTCAAATGGCATAAGTCTTTGCTAATTGACGTAAAGTCTGCGAGGTTATAATGGAATTTCGTGACTAACGTATCAAGTGTCATGAAGCTTTCTTTAATATTTATCACAAGTTCCAGTGCCGGATGATAGTAATCACAAGGAACAATAGGATAGTCATATTTAATTACATTTGAATAATTAGAAGCAAATACTAAGTCGAAAATTTTAGAATTATCATTTAGTATTTCGTTTAACTGTAATAAATTGATATAATTCATTGTATTTTGAATTTGTGTGCCAACATCAATTTCAGTACTGGAGGCATTTAAAAATTCTGAATGAACAATATCATCAAAGTTTGACTGTAATGTATCTGGTCAATTAAAATCACCCATTATTAAGAATTTCTATGTTGGGTTTCAAAAACTAGTTTTAGATTTGTAATAAATTCTAAGTAGGCACCAAGAGTTGACTTGGGTGGAAAGTATGTTGTAACAATTATCATATCAAAACGAGTATATTTAAGATGAATGAAGATGTGTTCAGAAAGATGACAAGATGTTGGAATAAGTGAACTACCGATTTTTTGATGAACCATAATTAATACTCCTCCACCTCTCTGAAATTTAATTGTTGTTGAAGTTCTATCGACTATGTATATGGTGAATAAGAAAATTCAATTCTGCATTACAAATGCCATCATGAAGCCATGTCTCGGTGAAAACAATGATGTCCAGATCTTCGCAAGAAGGCGCAACTTGATGAAGGATGGACAGCTTAGTACGCAGACCACGCACGTTTTGGTAGTAAACATGAATTTTACTAGGGAATTGCTTGCTCTTCACTTTTCCGCTTGGACAACATTGCGCGCACCTGTACTTTTTTCAGTTAGTGAAAAGTTTTGGTACTCGGTTAATATATTTAATCTTGGCATCTTTATTCCTCTTATTTGGCTCCAACTCTAAAAGTGATAGGACGTTTCTCAAATGTTCTTGTTGATGGGGAGAACGGTCGGGACTAATTTTAACAGGTTGTTTGAGATTTTTCTTGTTTTTCAATATTCGTATTGCCCGAGTTAGGTAATACAACTTTAATTGGCCTCAATTTGAGGTCATCAACACGTCCCTATCTACTCACAGCGATTTCACCAGCATTGATGTCCACAATTTCAGATAATATTGACAAGACTGTTTGTCGTCATTCAGTTCTTGATTTGAAGAAGTTTGTTTGATATCATCAATGCCATGTATCAGGATGTTTTTTGATCGTTATTCTCTATCAATGTATTCAGAATAAAATGATTTGAATGAATCAGCGTTTATATGAAAATTAGTTCCAATTGAATTGAGTGATACTTTGATTTCATTAAGTTCTGTCTTTAGTATATTATTTTCTCTCATAATATCCGCAACTATTTTATTAAGACTCAACAATGATGTTTTGATGTCTATTTCATCATCAATAATGCCTGAAAATTTGTCGCAATAATATCACATAAGCCGATTTGTTTTTTTGAGTGTAAACACTATTTCGAGAGAAGTCAGTGAAGCGCATTTCTGATGAAATTTAAGATTACATTTGTCACATTCAGCAAAGTCAGTTTCACTCGATTTACCATGAATTTGGATGACTTTATGACTAATTCCATACTGGTTAGATAAATTAAATATGCACTTTTGGAAATAATAAGTTTTCAGAGGTTATGGTTTCCTTCAGGATGAAATATTCACTCAATCTTTTCCAATCACAAGTAAAAACTCCTCCCTCCAGTTGGACAGACAGATTATATCTCCAATTATCTCACTAACTCAAAAACATCCTGCCCTTTGTTCATCAATCATTACATCATGAGGTTGTTTAATTTTGTCACAATGCCGGGCGTTTTAACTGGTTTCAACTTGCCATTGAATTTTGGAAAAAACTACAGGATGAAAAAATTGAGGTACTAGTCTCATCCAGTGCGGCTATGCATAATGCTCACCAATATTGCATGACAAAAATTCGGCGCATTTAAAGGAAATTTCAAAATCACTGAAATCAAAGATTTATGACATTAAAGGACTGGCTGCATAAAGTGAATATCAGTGTATCTTTTGCAACAGGCATGCCTATACCTGACTCAAGCCAGGCCAGTCTTCTAAGTAACAAGTAATGTACTTCAGCTTCCGGGTCAATGAGTGTTATCAAGTAATGTACTTCAACGTCTGGTCTCGATCAGGTATTTGTCCAGTTTCCCAAACGCCAAGATGGCCCCTTATTTTGTTCCCCATAGGTTACCTACGGTTTCTTAGTGTTCTTATTATCTTTGCTAAATAAATCAAAAGCAAAGTTGGTAGCAGTGCCTGCAAGCAAGTTCAAGAGTGGAGTATTAAGTTTTTGTTTTGCCCATAATTTTCATCACTTATGCAATTTTCTCACTTACACATTTTTTCCCTTGAGTACCCAGACGTATAAGAGAATTTACTGTATCATTTATTTCATGACAGAAACAATTTGGCTGTTGATCAGTGTTAACAAAGAAGAAGATCAATTCTTTTTTATGCAGGCAGATATTCTAGTAGATAGTGTAAGAGGCTTTTAAAAGCACATGTCATACTGTACAGGATGAATTAATATGTCAGAATGAGTTTTCAGTTTTTTTAAAAAACACTTACATCTTTTGCGGGTTGAAATATCAATCCATCGGGTTCATGCGAAAGAGATTTAGCAAACTTTTCACTAAGTAGACTGCCAGCTTGTGTAACATCCCAAAACTGCTTTAAGCGAATACTGAATGGCTCCATTGTTCTATTTATCCGACCTTCTCCCATGGCCATTCGTCGCGGTTGCACAATTTCTTTCTGAAAGGAAAAATATATGCAGAATACTCTTGTAAGCACTTTCGCCCTTCAATTTAAATTTACAATACTACATTTACTTACATCAATACAAGTCAATCGAATAGGGTCAAAAGTTTGACTGCCCACATCTTGGCCTTCAAATCTGATGATATCATATGCCAGGTACCGCGGAATGTCTTTCCCATCAACTTTGTCAATAACCATTTCCTATATGTCCAAAGATTATACTCAAATTAATTACAAAATGTTGTTCAGTATAGAATCAAGTAAGTAAAGTATTTTGTAAGCAAAGGAAAGTGTTAAGCCAAAAGAGAATATATATTTCAACTTATGATGGTGAACATTACAACAAGGGGACAGATTCAAATGAGAAAAGATAACTGCAATCCATAATTGTTCTCACTTGCATTATTTCAAATGAATTAAAACAATTTTTATTTATGTATTGAAGTGTAATTGCATATTTTTGCGTACTTTACCTATTAATACATATTTCATTTAATTTGATTATTTTTGCAGGTTGAAACATTGCCTTAGAGTTAATATATGAGTTTGCCCATGTGTTCCTACAATCATCTTTCTGTGAAACAAAACAATGTGCAGGGCTTCTGCTCCTGTGACCTCTGGACATTTGCCATGAACTGCACAAACTTACTCCTGTTACTTTTCAAAAATAACTTCCTTGGAATCAAGGGTGAATGGAATTGTAAGAAACTAGGAAGCAGAAGTAATTTCGGCCACATTCTTGCTTATGTTTCATAGAGTCCAAGTGAAACTTGATAGAAATCTGACAAACGTTTCTTATCTTATTGTATTTCCTTGAACCAGTTCTTGTTTTAAATAATCTGTTTATATGTCCATTGAGGGATACAGTAGGGCTTTGAACATTTGCATTTGAGGGAGGTTTGTTTACAAGTGTGTTTAACATGTATACCCATGTGCAGGATGTAAATCCGTGTCATAATTTAAATCTAGGTATTGAATCTGCAAACTAGTCCTCTAAGCTACTTAGGGAAAAGAAAATGAAACTGTAAAGGAGAAAAATTTCATTTTGCTGAACTAGAAATTTCAGCAAAATGCATATAATCTTACCCCATCCAGTAAGGTATCCCTAAGATGCCTACTAGGATTCTTTCGATGCGGAAAAGTAAGACCAGAAACTTGGAAGACACAGTTGTCTCGATCAATGAAAAATACTTCGTTCTCTTTTGATATCAGCATCATGTATCTAAAACAAATCAAACAATAAGTGACAATGGGTAAAAATACATAGTACAGAAATTTAGTATATTTTTTAGACCTAAGTTTTATTTTGAAACAAAACAAGATGCTTAGCACAGGCAGCTAAAAATGCAATTTACAGAACTCATGCATAAATAAAAATAACAATTATTGAAAAGTTTTATGGATACTATTTGACTGAACAAATGCTTTCAGTATCACTATCTTCATTTAAAAATAAACAAAATGAGGATTACAGAAACAAATGTACTTAGACGATTTATTTTTGATATCAACAATGATCAATAATAAATAATTAAAGAGTCAAAATCTGTTACTCAGCACGCTGAGAAAATGGTCGTTTATTAAACTAAATACATTTAAAGTAAATAAAATAAAGAGATTTGTTTCTGTTAAATGTGTCTGGGAATTTACATTCTGACACTTTATCACGCTGTTAAGAATTTCACCCCATCTGTATCTGGATGGCATCAAAATAATTTACAATAGAGAATCAAAAACTATGAATAAAAAACATTACTATTTGTTTAAAAATTTCTGAAGACACTTTTATCAACTAGCCAAATTCATTCTTCCAGCAACAAACATGTATTGCAAAGTTGGATATTATAGTAAATCACTGTAACACTTACCTTGTACCATCTGCTTTCCATGAAACTTTGTATGGCTTCTCATGCAACAGCCTGATATTTGCGTTGTCCATGGAAACAGGCTGACAGCCAGGAAATCCTGAACTGTGAGCAATGAGCAAAGCATCCCCTATTACATTAAATAAAACCACAAACAACATTAAAGAACAATATCAATTTACCTGCAGAAGAATACAGAAGTCTTAAGAAACACAGAAGAAAGTTATCAGTAGAGTAAATGTGTTTCACAAGAGGCCACTGATTGAAATGATTTGTTTTGACCCAAATCAACATTTTTGACTTTCAAATGTTCATCAAATCAAGAAAGGATTTAAATTTAATATTTTTTCTCAATCAATAAAGCACATTTATGTCACCAAACGATTTTGCAATGCAGGAGTTCAATACAAACAAGCCAAATTTATAAGTATCATTTCCATTAGAAACAAAGGAAAGTAAAATCTGGTTCTTAACACAATCAACAGCAAGGATCTAAAAATACTTTCCATTTCCCTTGATACATTTTTTCTTGAATGGTCAGTGAAAATAAAACTTGTTATAATAAAGTTGCAATGAATATAAGATAAGGATGCTCTTAAAACAAAGAAAATTCAAATAAAATTACAACAAAAAAATATATACATTAAGTAATGATATTTACAATAAAAAATAATAAAAAGGTCTTGTGATTTTCTTTAAAGAAAAAAAGACAGTCACTATACAATGAAGCTTATGTCTTATATTCAATTCAATAATGAATGAATGTACTTTTTGCCTGCACATAAATAGATTTCTGAGCAAGGTAAAAACACGGAGGTAGTGATTAAACTTGGATCAGATAAGACTAACAGGTTTTAGTTTCAGTCAGAAAGATGTAATTATGAGGAAAGAAGTTTTAAATGTGTGAATCTTAATTTCTTATATTGTGATGAAATTCTGAGAGAAACAAACACCACCAAGGCATATCATTCAACATTAAAATTAAATCTCAGGAAAAAATTCTAATTTTATGAAAGTTGTACTTGTATAGCTGACAAAACTTCAGAGAAAAGGACAGTTATATAAAATTAAAGAAGACAAAATTAATACATTAATTCAATTTTTCGGCAAGTTATTTCAAAGTTAGAGCATGCTAAAATGCATGGCAACTTTTGATACTCTCGCCAAAACGGGAGAGTCTCCTGCCCTATTATTTTGTGACAATGCTCTACTTTTACTATATCATGATTAAAAGCAACCACTAGGAATGAATTAATTGCATTGTTGCAAGATGAATGAAACAAAAATTTCTTATTACACAAATTAAAATATTGGAAGTTTATTTTAAAGGGAACTTATAAAGTAATTTAATTAACAAAAATATATATTTTGTTTTATAAATAGTAACATTTTAGAAGGTCCACTTCAAAGGTGACATTGGTTGTGAAACAAAATGTCCTTTCAATGTGAAGTAAGGTAAAGTTGTTTAATTTGGAATGCCAGGGCACTTGGGGTTTTTGGAAATTTCTCTTTGGCAACTTAACCCTTATCCGGGTAACCAATTTTTATGATGCAACCGGGCAAGCGGGGTCCAACGGACCCAGGAGTATTTGCTAAGGAATTATGCTTACAAGTATAAAATTATTCGACGCAGGTAATGAAACAAAACACGCTAATATGATATTTTATTTAACAATACCTTTACAAATACTTCACATTTTTATTTTAAGCATTTTACTAGCATTACAGATCTGACACACACTATTTACCTGGCTGTGTTCATTACATACAGGTTTTAACAGATGCTACATCTCTGTCTTTGTTTTCTACTTCTTCCCAATGGCCACAAGTGACATTTTTTTTAGCATTGTCTTCATTTTTCTTAGATGTAGAAGGTCCTGCTTCCCCGATAACATGGGTGATTGACAAGAGACACTTTTTGTTTCAATTCTATTTGGCTTTTATCCTTAGAATGTGTGGACGAACCAAATCCTCTGCGATATCTACAATAAATAATCGCATGATCTCATGTTTTTTACATTCCACTCAGGATTGAGGTTTCTCCATATCACATATGCAGCTTACACCACGTACATCCAACGAGTCATAAAAATTGTTAATGGCCACGCGATTTGCTGCGTCTTTTACATGAGTAGGTATGCTCGAGTTGATCCAGAGCATCGACTCCACCTTTGGTTTGTTGTAATACATAATTATCTCTGGCTTTCCATTACTTGATAGAGTACCATCATGATGCATAGTAGAAAGCAATGCTACTGATCTATTCTTACTAGGTACAAAAAGAAACTATCTTAATTTTCCTAGAAAAATCCAAAAATCGATGTACCTTCAGGGTGGTGTTTATTTGTGAGAAATTGGAAGGTAGAAAGTCTTGTTCTTTCGTACCGTACCAAAAGAGTCAGACCACATGACAAAAATTTAAGCAAGATTCTTGTCAGTGAAAGCATTATCACATGTTACATTTCGATATAGTGCCTTGATATGGTTCAGTTAGTGCTTCCACTACTCGACGTTCCTAAGCCAGGAGCTGCTCTTTGTCCATTTTCTTTTTCCAAATAAGGCAAACCGTTTAGAGGTAAAATGTTTCCGAGTCGCATGCCATCAGACTTTCATCCATATTTATGAGGCTTAGAAGGTAAAATATTGTTTGAATGGGCATCTTCCTCTGAATCCTATTAGTTGCTCATCTACGTAATGTTGGTACCAGGTAAGTAATACTTTCTAAAACTTTGAATTTCGTTTCTCCAAATGTTTCTTATTGGTGCAAATTTGTCTTTTTTCCTTCTAATTGAGCGAGTAGTTTTGTCGTCAAAACAAATTAAATGCCAAAATACTCTTGAACCTTTTTAGTCCCATTGTAGCTCTAAATATAGGCGGACCATAGACACTATTTCATAAAGTGTCATAATTGCAATGGTTGCTCTTTAGGTGGCCTGCAGTCAGTGAGAGTCCAATGAAATCGTACATATCTACTTTGTCACAATCATTCCATTGCTGAGAAGGTCTTCTTTCTTTGTATACTCGTTGAGCTTCTGCATTCGTACAGCGAACAATTTCGGCCACTATTGATTCATCCATGTAAAGACTGAGTGCATCCACTGGACATTCTATACATGCACTAGGTGGTAACAAAACTTTATTTATGGACCCCGTACTATATTATGACTTCGTGCTCTGCCTGTACTAGTCAGCTCAGCAAACCATCAGATAACATCCCGATGAAAAGACGTTGCGTAACCCCCCGACATCCGTCCGTCCCTTGCACGCACAGCTGTTGTCAAATAATCATCCAAACAAAACCAGAAAATACGCTATTACAAGTAGATTAAGACACCTGGGTCCAACGGACCCCGCTTGCCCGGTTGCGTCTAAAAAATATAAATATTTTTTTAAATTTATTACTCAGTAATGCTAATGCAAAATGGTTGCAGGCACATTTAGAAAACAATATTGCCAACAAAGTCACAAAAAACTATCGTAATAACTTTGATAGTTTTCACGTAAAATAATGAAACTTTTGCTTCTGGGTTCAATGGACTCCGGTTGCCCGGATAAGGGTTAAACACTTCCATCATTGCCAGCTAAATTTGACTCTCAAATTTATTGCCAAGGAATGCCACAATCATGGTCTTAGAAATATTCATCCCTTACTTGAGGTGTGTCACAGCTAAAACAAATCAATGATCAAGCAATTCCTAGCAATAGTGGAAGGCACGTCTACTCAAACCAACTCGTCCAGGGGCTTCCGGGACATCGCGGTTCCATGCACGATCTTGTCCAAAGGCTCTTAGCGACAAACTGACTGAGCGTAATAACTCTTCTAGAGGCTACCACGCATGGAAATATTTCGCATATCAACTCTAGAGCCGTCAATGGGTTAATTTTACTAGGCTTTCAGCAAGTGTCTTTTTACATGCTGCAGATATGACAAGGCAACAGTGTTTTTTTCACTGTTCACACCCAGACCCAGAAAAACCACACAGGATGGAAGGATTGAAAAGCCAATATGCTAACTCTTCACCTATTGAGGACAATGAAATAATGCACTATTTGTTAAATGTAACAATTATTTAACTTCCCTTAAAAGTAAAATTTGGCTTTAAATGTATTTCACCTAACCACTACTCCCTTACTACGAAGATAGAAATAATTTCTAAGTAAGTTTTTCATTAAAACTCAAGTAGTCATGGGGTACTACATGGTCTATATTTTTTGTGTTGTTACTTTTTACGGATAATGTACACGGAATATTCTTTAATGAACACATAAGATTTTTTTGTTTTTTTTTGTTTCACACACATAATGCAATAATTCACAAGTTTTAATTTTCTGGGATCTGCAAATTTGTCTGGGATCTGCATACCCCGAGGGAGCATCTCTCTAAATTATTACATAATTTGATTGTTGACATGATGCTGACATTTGACAATGAATAATAGTGTTGAACAACTTCTTTGGAATTATGTCTGTTAATTGCTACTGATGCTTCCACGGAAGTAGGCAAAGATTGCATGGACTAACTCGGTAAACATTCTCACTCGCATCAGGAAAAGTTCACTGTTGCAGTCTACCTTCTGGTACACCATGTACCAAACATACCTGGCAATATAGCCCCAGACTACAAACCTTCAGCTATGGTTGTTGAAAATGTCATTAGTCATAGATTTCTTTACGACCAATAACAACATTATTAGCTTATCACAAATGTGAACATCTTGTGTCCATGTCAGAGACAGAGTGACTGAATTAATCATGGAAAAAACAATGGCAGATCACATTCTTTCAAAAACTAAACCATATTTTTAAAAAATTATTTACATACTGTCACAACAGACAGGTACAATTACAAAAACGTATAGTGGTGTTTGTTGTTTCTGTCATTTTAAGGTAATTAAGGTTGAGATGTCCAAGTACGCTACATGAAAACTAGCATTGCTACATGAAAACTACCAATTACAACTAGTGTTGCCTCACAATGGGAATTTTGCTTATCTCATCTGTTCAATGGACAATGGATTGGGACCATTTGAGCACCAGTTGACTGAACTTATACATTTACAGGAAGAATATGATTGAAATAAACATCAATAAAATTGAAAAGAAAAGAAAAGGAAACGAAAGGACAAAACCAACATTTTCAATTAAGCAAATAGCAGACGTTTACTAATGTGTGACTACAGTTAATCAGAAACTACATACATCCGGTTATTCCATTCTATTTACATCAAAACAAAACCCACAAACACACATACATTAAAATGAATGTTCATACCTCTTCCAGGCACACATGTCCTGAACTCTCCTTTGAACATAGTGAAGTTTTTGGGAATCCGTCACAGGTGTTACACCAGGTACTCCTACCATGAAAGTGGGATTTTTCTTTTTGAATTCTTTTCTTCGTGCACCTCTGTAATTTTAAGAGATTTGATTATCAAAAATAAAGAAAGAAGAGAAAAATTCAAATTGAAATGTTAAACCTAGGTAATCGCAAATGAGTAAGTTGTTTCTATATATTGTAAAATAACATAAAGAACAATAATTATAGCATGTACATTATGTTCAATTAAAGTAGAAATATTTTATCATCCAAATATGATTACAGGCTTCATATTAAATTATCGGCAAGTTAAAACTTTTAAATTACTTTTAACTAAATAATGTAATAAAATTAATTTTAATTGAATAATGCAATATTTAAAAAAAGAAAAGAATATTCATATTCAGATATTTAATAATCTGTTAAGAGAACAGATGCACTAACCCAGATGATCTCTCTTCATTATGTATGACACCATCTTCAGAATCTTCCACATCTCGGTCTCCATCGTCACTTTCTACAATAAACAAAGAGAATAGAACAAACATTGCAAACAGAACACAAAAACACATGCATATTGGGGACAATAACTGACAAATACAATTCATCTTCCTAATTGCAACTAATATTACATACAAAAAACAGTTTAGCTCTCAATTTGTAATTGAGTTTATTGCTTGATTTATTGCAGTGGATTTGAAAACGGCCTAGCATATCCATACAATCCATAGAGGTAAAAGAATGTATGAATCCATGAATTTCTAGTACTTCATTGACAACTTCACTTAAACAACAACTGTGGATTACACAAAAATTTTAAGTTTATTTAATAAATCTATGAATCTTGTATGTTCATTGCAGCTGCATACACAGGTGGTTGAGCACATGACTTCACAAGCAGGAACATTTCATAATTTTTGCACTCAACAAGACATTATTTGTGCAATTTATGACTTCATGTTCTAATTTTTTGGCATAGTTTACCAGATCTTCACAATGCTAGTTAAAAATTACATTTCCATTCATCACAAATCCACTCTTTTAGCAACACAATGCACTTCTTGATAAGGATGATGAATCCGAGAGTGCTAATCTTGAAGACAGTTGTGTTCTTGATAAAGAACAGATAGCTCACTAATCTTTCCAAACATCAGAAAGATGTGAGAAATTCTAGAGCATTCTCTGGATCATTCTGTCAAGCTTTGGTGAAGTACATAAGCATTTCCGCAAGGTGATAAACTCGCATTCTTCTCTAAGCTGTCAAGTCTACTGAACAGGACATTATTTAAAGACCTAATTTTAAAAAATATATTGCACTAAGAAAAACATTCTATCCTCAATAACTCAGTTGTGGGAGGAGGTCAAAACAATTTTAAACTTACACAATTTTCAAGAAGTCTGAGGATTTACAGGAAAAAGGAGTTAAAAACCACTGTAACTGAACAATATTTACAAGCACACTTTTCTCTATTCCAACACAAATTAAAGAAAATCCTTGGAACCCCCCCCCCCCCTTTTTGGGTTAATTTCAAAGATGTTCTAGGGGCTTCTCATTAAAAAACCTTAAAAACTCTGTTTCAAATTCACAGGACCACAAATACGACCAGATTAATTAAGGAATATCCATTTTGAAGAGAATCTTATGAATCGTTTAGGTACTAGTGTTATCCACAAACTGACTTAGAGAGATTCATAGAGAAAAAACAAGTGTTGGTATCCAGAACACCCACAAAAGCTGGATTCTAACTACACTTCATATTCAAAAAAGTATTATAATATACAGTAGTTGATGTGAGCAAGAGCCACAAAACATTTTGCTGTTAAAAAATTGATACTTTTTCTGGCAGCACTAAATTTTACTGTGCAGTAGTAAATGAGAAAGTTAAATGGTACTTATAAATAAATCACTGGAGATCTGAACATGTTGAATGACATATAAATCCTTAATTCCAGGGCAGTTAACCTCCCAAAAACCAACTTCAACCATACACTTTAGAGAATTACATTAACGTGATGAAAAGAACTCACAAAATGAGAGAATAAGCACTGTTGCAAATGCATTAGAGGTATTTCCAAGAGATAATGGAAATTCAAAAAGTGATCACCAATGGTGAAAACTAAGGGAGAAAAATGAACTAGTTTCTTACTACTGAACTTGCAAAAACCTTATCATTTTCCACATGAAAACCAGACATTCATCAGAAAATTTCATTCAAGAAGGTAATGAGAAAGACCTTTCAATGGCTTTCATTTAGCTAAGCACATTTCTTTGTTTTCTGAAGGAAATTCTACAAGCATGGAAAAGCTTAAGTGTTACCTGTTTTTCACGTCACACCCATCAAAGTACAACCTTCTCATGAGAAACTTTATTCCAAAGAGGTAGAAGATTGTGGAATTGTTTGCAACTTATATAACTGCTTTTATACAATATAATTGGTTTTTGTAAATGCATATTTTAATTGTGTAACAGGATTATATTTATGATTTTTATAATTTATTTATTACAGGTGTAACAATTGCTCTTGCACATTTTTTGTAGAAAGTCAGTGCCAGGTGCGTGCCTGGGTAATCGTACACTTTGAAATCTGAAATGTGTCTAGAAGAGGGATTAAATATCCCTGAAAATATATACTGAAGATATTTGGATTATATCATTCACACATTGTCTCTTCCAGCCACCTAACAAAAGTATTCAAATAGTAAAGTAATTCAAAAGTATTAAATAGTTTCTCAAAATTACCTTGGCAGTCAACATGTTAAATAATAATGTGAATTTATTTAAAGAAAATCAACCATCATTGGTGAAGATATGAGAAGAGTGGAATTTTAATAGAATATTTAAAGTGAAACTGCTTAACAGTACTTAGTTATACTTTTTTTAAAAAAAGGGGGGCATCCTAATTTTTTAAATTAATGATTACTTTAAATAGCTTTTTCTCAGATTTCAGTGAATGGTGGCTTGGTTCTTCCTTCCAGCATCCAATTAGCACTTTACAATAAATTTACACCCTTTGGAAAATTACTGTCATGCTTGTGCATGTATTCACATAATGATTTCGAAGTGTAATTATAGCAGGATAAATCTATACTCAACCCACAACTCCTCATTCCATTCATCACCCCACTTTTAATTTCAAGAATTATGGTCTGGTTTGATGTGAAAAACCCTTCAGGTCTTAATTCATCATGAAGAAAAGTTCTTTTAAAGAAGCTACAAGAGATCCCAATCAAAGTCATTACAGGTCACAAATTATTTTTAATATAAATTGAACATTTTTGTTTTCTTTGACAGGATAGAAAAAATTTGTTATTCAAAATATTCACATTCAAAGATATGAATTTAATTACTGAAATATTATTGTATTAAAGTACTACTGTAGTTTATTCCCATTTTGATTACCTGGTGTTAAATTACCAGAGCAACTTTTACTCTCCTGCAAGATAAACCCTATTTTGTTTAGTTATTAGATCTTTCATGTAAATGACTCGTTTTTAAATTAAAATAAATAAATTTAATTAAATTACCTACATTCGTTTTGGTCAAAACCACACGCTATTGTGAATCCCAATACAATTGTACTATTGAGTTCAATTCAAACTGTTTTAACTCTCCAAGGACCAGTGTGACATATACATCACAGCAAATAAGTTATGGTTAGACTTAATTCCTGTCCCTGCAGGTACATATTTCTGCATGCAGAGGGGTTTGTGAGTTTAATGTGCGATCTTTCCAAAAAAGGTGTTATATTTTTTCCCAAGAGTTCAAAAATTATATTAAATTTTCTGATGGACCCTGAACATAAGTTGAATTTGCAGTCTGTATGAATTCAATTTATCTCAACAGTATATCTCTCACAGATAGTTTTCAAAACACTGAAATTAATAAATTCATTTTATTATTATTATTATTATTATTATTATTATTATTATTATTATTATTATTATTATAAGAAAAAGTGGAGGTATGAAAAGGTCAGAGTGGTGTATATGACACATTTGTCCTTCCCTACTGCTTTTTATGTCTCTCGACAGTTTTTGAATTTTTTTCACTTTGTTTTATAGCATAGTGAAAGATCAGAATTTTTATAAGATTTTCTAAAAACTTATGAAGAAACTGATTGTTTTAGAGATGGACTGACTATGGAAGAATTAGTTCAGTTGCTTGAAGAAAACATTCAAGGCATTGATGATATCATAGAGGTAGAGAATATTTTCATTACTCCACCACCACCTGCAGATGACCGTAGTGATGAGAACACAGGAGGTCTGCTGGATAATTTGAGTGGCACTAAATTGGTGAGTGAAGCTGAGGCAGTTTTGTCTTATGGAATTATTGGGAAATGAATGGACAAAAGCATGGTTGCAGTTGTAGCAAAAGTGGGGGTGCATCAATTCAGAGAATCTTCAGTCAAACATGTAAAAAGATATTCATCAAAAGAGAAAAAAACATATATGTCCCTCAGCCAGCAATTATTAGCATATGCAATAGAAATAAGGGTAGTACGGATCGAATGGTTGGATATAAATTAGTATTGTATATCTACCAGAGGTACGAAATGGTACTAGACTATACTGACATAGCTAACAGATGCAGCAATAAACAATGCTTAACAGATATATACGCGACAGAAAGGAAAATCACTAAACTAGAATTCAGAAGAGACTTTGCCATCACATACCTTAAAAGACATAATACAGTTGTCAAATCTGTGCGTTCAATAGCTCTGCTGTCGAAGAGCTCAATGGGAGTTTCAGATGACATTCACTACAACCGAGCTGATCATCTACTTGAGAAAGTAGAAAATTAAAAGACTTTATTAATTAAAAGAAAATTATAAGAATACTCAAAATTATTGTAAATGACAATGGACAGTGGATGAAAGGAAATTGAAATCAATAAACGATATTCTATCAAATGAATTTAGATTAAAAATAACATTTTTTATTTCTGAATTATAATACATATCGTCTATATACAAAATATATAATTTATTCCATCACAAGTGGTTCAACAAAAGACGAGATAGATGCCTAACGTTTCCCAATCGACGATTCTGAAATTTCCGAGAGTTTGTGTTTTTTAAGCCTTATATTTTTACGTCTATTCCTATTCCTCTTCCTCTTCCGATTTTTTTTGTACCTCCTCTTACTGCCCTCTGGAAAATGTGTTTAGTTAATTTTAATACATTAACAAATAATTTTCACAAATACTAGATTTTTATAATAATAATTTAATTAGTTTATCAACATAATTTTTAAGCAAAAATGTTACATTTTAGGAATATGATTGGTTGAAAATATCAACAAATTCTTTATACATTACAAAACTGTTGGAAGAAACAGGAAAAAAAAGAAAAGAAGAAGAGGGAGAAGGAGGGAGGAGAAGAGAGGAGGAGAAAAAGAAGAAGATGAAGAAGAAGGAGGAGGAGGAAATGAAGAGAAAAAAAAAATATCAATGTAGGCAAAATTTACAATGAACACTTCTGGCAAATCTAAAGATAAAAATATGTGGCAAAA